ACATTTTCGGCCCAACCCTTTCTCGAGTCGCGTCCGACAGCGTCGCCACATTGCCGAACCTACCTACGCCCCGAGGTTATCGCCCTTTTACGTCTACTCCTATATAACCTTGTGCTTTCATTGCAATAGCGACCTTGTATTCTCACGATATAGTTCATTTACATTTTCTAAATCATAACAGCGTTATTGTGATGGAACATTGTAGATCCGAGGATGTGCCAGCTCTTTGAAAAGCGACTGTTGTGTATCGTTTACGATGTCTTGGAATGGGCACCTTGAACCGGGGATTCAAGCTTCTCGTTTTCGTGACGTGAGAAATCGGTTGAAACGATATGGTCAACGAGCTTCGGTGAGTTGACTCGTTCCCTTTCTGCGTTGACTCAATGTCTGCTTTTGCCCATGTGGCTGCCGCTGCTTGGTTAATTTCTTGACGCCTGAGTCAGCGCACGACCGAGTGATGCATTCGCGATTTGAGTCCCGCTCGCGTCGCGATGTTGGTACAAAAAGCGGCAGGTTCTTTCGACATTACCAATTTCCCTTACAACGCCACTCACACTTCAGAAAGGTACCAGAATCATATCATATTCTTGACACGCGACAACGAACTAGAACCCTCTCGCGGCAACTAGACTCCTCCTAACTTGGGAAATTCCCGCTGCAACGTCGGCAACACCAGCCGCCATGGCACTGGGATTCTCTCTCTCGCTTATTCAGCATCGCCGCCGTACTATCCTGACTACTAAGGATGGTTATGATCGGAGCACCTGCCTTCTCCTCATCTCCCTCGTCCTGCTCTCGTCCCTCCACGCCGCCTTCGCATTTCGCTTCCCCGCGGGACTCCGCGTGGAAAATCTGCGCGGAATGATGGGTGGAAATGCGCGAGGCGGACGATCGAACGGCCAGCAGCAGGGCAGCGGAATGGGCGAAGCGCGATGGGTGGGGGGAATGGGTGGCGGCGGAATGGGAGGCAGCGGAATGGGAGGCGGTGGAATGGGCAGCGGCGAAATGAGCGGGGCGGAATCGGCGGGGGAATGGGCGGCGGCGGAACGGGAGGCAGCGGAATGGGCGGAGGCGGAATTAGCGGGCGGCGGGATGGGAAGCAGCGGAATGAGTGGCGGCGGGATGGGCGGCGGCGGCGGAATGGGCGGCGGCGGAATGGGGTGGCGGTGGAATGGGTGGCGGCGGAATGGGTGGCGGCGGAATGGGCGGCGGGCGGGATGGGCGGAGGAGGAATGGCGGCGGCGGAATGGTCGGTGGCGGAATGGGAGGCGGAGGAATGGGCGGAGGACAAAATGGGCGCAGGAGGTATGGGGGGAGGCATGGGTGGCGGAATGGGAGGGCGCGGGCTCGGGATCGTTTGCTCCAGGGTCGCAGGCAGCATCCAGACAGGGCGGACCTGGATGGGCGGCGGAATCGGCGACCTGGGGTGAGCATGGGTGTCGGCGGAATGAGCGGCGGCGGGATGGGCGGCGGCGGAATGGGCGGTGGCGGAATGGGCGGCGGCGGCGGAATGGGTGGCGGTGGAATGGGCGGCGGCGGAATGGGTGGTGGCGGAATGGGCGGCGGCGGGATGGGCGGAGGAGGAATGGGAGGCGGAGATATGGGCGGAGGGGAATGGGCGGAGGACAAATGGGTGCAGGAGGTATGGGGGGAGGCATGGGTGGCAGAATGGGAGGGCGCGGCTCGGGATCGTTTGCTCCAGGGTCGCAGGCAGCAACCCGGACAGGGCGGACCTGGGATGGGCGGCGGAATGGGCGGACCTGGGGCGAGCATGGGTGGCGGCGGAATGGGCGGAGGTCAAATGGGCGCAGGAGGTATGGGCGAAAGCATGGGTGGCGGAATGGGAGGGCGCGCTCGGGGTCGTTTGCTCCAGGGTCACAGGCTGCACCCGGACAGGGCGGACCTGGGATGGGTGGCGGAATGGGTGGACCTGGGGGGAGCTTGGGTGGCGGCGGGATGGCCGGAGGAGGAATGGGCGGAGGGGGCATGGGCGGAGGAGGAATGGGGGGAGGCATGGGTGGCGGAATGGGAGGGCGCGGCTCGGGATCGTTTGCCCCAGAGTCGCAGGTAGCACCCAGACAGGGCGGACCTGGGATGGGCGGCAGAATCGGTGGCGGAATGAGCGGCGGGGGAATGGGCGGCCCCTGGAGGAAGCATGGGCGGACCTGGGGGGAGCATGGGCGGACCTGGGGGCAGCAACGGGCGGACCTGGGGGAAGCATGGGCGGAAATGGGGGCAGCATGGGCGGACCTGGGTCATCTGCTCCCGGGTCAGACGCAGCCATGGGCCCTGTGGGGGGCATGGGCGGACCTGGGGAGGCCATCGGCAGACCTGGGGGGGCCATGGGCGGACCTGGGGGGGCCATGGGCGGAATTGGGTCATCTGCTCCTGGATCAGAAGCAGGCATGAGTCCTGGGGGGGGCATCGGCGGAGGCATGGATGGTGGCATGGGCGGACGCACGGATGGTGGTATGGGCGGAGGCATGGATGGCAGTATGGGTGGAGGCACGGATGGTGGTATGGGCGGAGGCATGGATGGCAGTATGGGTGGAGGCACGGATGGTGGTATGGGTGGAGGCATGGATGGCAGTATGGGTGGAGGCATGGATGGTGGTATGGGAGGAGGCATGGGGCGTTGAAGGGACGAGGAGAATACACATGGCCACAGTAGCATCCTCATGTGTGTCAGATTGTGGCGTGTATCTATTTCCGTCAGAGCTGGTAGGAGCTTGGCCGCAGCAGCACCTCCAGCCGAGTGTTTGCTGAGTGCTGCTTCGTCCAATCTCCTCACCCAATGTAGTCCTTTGGTGCCCTGCAGAGCATATAGGCAGAGTATTTGTGCTTGAATTCTTATTGGAACGGGTTACTGGTGACGATGGCATCTTCTGTTTTCCGAGAATTTGTATGCTTGTACCCAAGCTCGATAAAATCACGCAACATAACCATGGGCACCAAGCAAGTTACATGTTATGGAGGTCCAACTCTCTCCAGCGTGTCAAGCGTCACGGCTGGTAACCACTTGAAGGACTCAGGGGAAAGGACCCCCCCACCACAGAAGAAGGCACACGGGGGCTGTGTCTTCTCCCTGTCAGGGTCGCGGCATGAGACAGATGCTGGGTCCTTCTCCACCCCTTGTTGCTGCCACAATGCTGCCATGGGGGATGCAAGGGGAGGGATGGACGGGGAAGGGAAGAGGTGAGGTGATGAGAGAGGAGCAGAGGTGGGGTGCGAATAAGAAGAAAGCACGTTCTGGCTGTGTCCTCTCCCTGTCAGGATCATTGCAGTTGACTTGACTTGACTGACTCTGTGTACTCTCTGGTTTTCTTATCGCATTGCGCACGCTGTCTCGGCCACTTTGCCGCCACCCACAGCTTCGTCGGCGACATCTTCCTCAGATTGTGCATACGATGTTGTACGTTGCTCATGGTCTCCTTCGCGTGTTTCTGGCACAGCAGGGTACAGTCCGAGTAGCTGCTCCCGTATTGGTGCTTGTCGAGATGCCGCTCGTGCATCTTGTACGTGTGGGTGACCGGGTTCCCCTCCTTGTCGACGCCGTGCACCTTCGCACGCTTCGACCCCCCGTGCCCGTACACTGTTAGGAATGCCGACATCGAAGTGTTTTTGGTGCCGGCACTGAAAACCTCCCCACACTCGACATAACGGTGTCGCAGATCCCCGAACATCTAGTCGATGTCCGTTGATACCTCGGTCACGTCGACCTGGGGTTTGGGGTGGGTGACAGAGAACCAAAGGAGATATTATGACAAATAGAGGAGGAGAACACCACCATCGCAGCCTTTAACAGCTCACCTCATGTTTCTGGAACTTGAGGTTGAGGTCGTTCATGACTGCGAGCATGTCTGCCAGGTAGAAGAGGCTGAATTAAAACTTATACGAGGTCACAACTTCATACAGGGGATGCTCATACTCATACAGCAGCACAATCGCAGCACCCAACACCTTCCACAGGCGTCGGATGGCCTCACCCCTAGACAACCATCGAACTTGATGGATGCCTTGCACCTCCAAGTTCGTGCTGTGAATCGCGCGCTGGAGGTACTTGAAGCGTCTGCTCCAGACGCTCGACCGGCCGAGAAGGTCCGCAAGGGTGCTAGTAACCTTATCAACCATGTTGAGTTATGGACATGAGGCGGCAGCATCCTTCACAGCTAGGGCTTCCCTGCAGGTACTGTATACACAAGGACGTTGGTTAGCGCACGGACACAAATCCCGAGAAAGAAGCTGTTCACAATAGTACCACAAAAATGTGGGCGATGCAGTGGGAAGAAACGAGGTGTGGGATGATGTCACGCAGGCGCGCAATAAGGCCCTTGTCACGATCAACCATCACTGACGCTCCGTCAGTGCTGATGCCGACAATGCGTTGAAAATCGATGCCGGACGACTCCAGGTGCATTAGGAGAATGGACATTAGAGAAGCTGCATCGCACTTGTCCACGGTTAGCAGAGCGAGGAATTCCGTAACGACTCGACGCAGACGCATGAAGGCGATGTAGACAATCAAGTGCTTCCCTCACATGCGGTCGGTGCTCTCATCGCATGGGATGCCGAGGTAGGGTGAGCTCTTAATGTGCTCCATCTGAGTTGCCAGCAGATGTATTGACAGAACAGTTGACCATCTGCTGGAACCTGTACCTGCAGAGGCATGATGACGGACAGTCACTCGTTAGAATACGTCAACATATGGGAAACAACAGAAATTCAACAGACGCTGAGCGATAACATCGTAACCTCACCTGGTCAGATACACTCCGTATGACTATAGAGGAATGTCAGGCATGTCTTGCTCTGCCATGAAACGGAGCAGTCGTGGAAACATGGCGATAGGAGCATCGCTCTTGCAAAGAAATTCGACGCACCACAAGAGACGGATGACGCGACGACCCTCGACATCTTCGGTGGCAAAACTCGTTATCTTCTGCTGCTTGTCATCGATGTCTTGTTGTATCTCCAACTGTCGGTGAACCGCGTCTTCATGGACCGTAGAGTGTTCGTGGATACACATCGTCTGGGTCTGGAGATCTTGCTCGCCTTCGCCTGGGCTCGAGTACTTTGTCGTCTCCTTGCCGAGAGCTCGGCAAACACTGCACTTAAGGGCGGGGTACCCATCCTTAGTACGGGTAAGTATTAGCCACGGGAAGTAGCGAAGCCAATCATTCTTGTACAGAGCTTCAGTGATCAGGTGCTTCTGCTCGATAATCTCCTTTGTACTTAACTTCGGTGGCGGTGGTTCATCAGGGCGGGTGATAGGGGGAGGTGAGCGCGGTGGTGAAGGGGGACGAATCTGGCCACCAAGGTTAATCCGCTGTTGCGTGTACTTTGTCGTGCGTTGTTTCTTCGCCAAAGACATGGTAGACGCGCACGGAACGCTGTTCGGAATGGTTGATGCGGTGGCGCAGTCGATAGGATCTTTTACAAGCCCTCTGCTAGAAGATGCTACAGCTGGTGGGAGAACGTAGGGAGCGGAGGCATGACTACATGGCAACGGTGGCTCGACGCGCGGTGGTTCGTCGACTGCGGCTGGGGCGGCCGATGGGGGGGGAACAGGTGCGGCGATGGGCCGCAAGAAATCCAAGCCTCTCCTAGGTGCTACGGCAGGCTCCTTTCGACTATACGGCTCATCACCATCAGGAGGAGCATCGTCGAGGCCACCTATGTTAGGCATGGCGAGAGGTGAAACAACGGGGGGAAACTAAATGATGCGACTATAGCTATGCGTGTGAGACAGAGAATGAGGAGATGAAAGGACTCCTCCTATAAAACATGAAGCAGTGTGTTTCAGACGGATGAGTAAGGAACGATAGGAGAAGAAGGGAGACATCAAACCCGTGTCGCATCTTTCTTGAAAGGCGCTACGCGGTCTTCGGGCCTGTCCTTGCACAACCCAACACCATGCAGCCATCGATGTGTTGGCTGTATTTGCAGCCAATCGGGTAGTTGCCCAACCTCAGGAAGGCTGGCAGATAGGGTTTGGGGCCCGAGTTTCACGCATGCACAGAGAGCGTCAGAGCAGAATCTGCAGTCCTTACAGGTTTGGCGTGGCAGCATTATGCCGCGCTGCGTGGGAAAGTGCCCACTGTGGGCAGAGTACACGTTGGACTTGGCGGGATTTCCTGCTGAGTGTGGATTCTGCACGTGACGCGGACGGGAAGCACTGATGGCGGGCGAAATTTCGGGGGAACCTGCGGACCCCAGGGAAGTCGGTTCAGGGTCCGTACGCGCTGCACTCTGGAACCTCACTACTAGCTTAGCGTCAGGTCTGAATTGTTCAGGATCCCCAAAACCTTACTCTGAATCAATCAGGACTGGGAAAATGGGTTGTATGGAAATTCAGGTTTGCACATTACACCGGTATGAGATTTCAGACTAATCAGAGTAAATAGTTTGATAAAGTCACCCCTGCTCAACAGCAGCAGCAGCAGCGACGGTCTCAGCACATGGACCCTGTTGCAATGGCAGGTTTGGTAGGGCAGGCTTGGGGAGTCCAGGTATGGGAAGTTAAATTATATATTGTGTTATATAATTGGTAGGCTTGGTAGGTTACCTAACTCTACTGTAGAGGGTACAACTCCCTCCTTGTATGCCTCTCTCTCCGTAGTCTCTCACTTTTTCCTCTCGTCAACCTTCTCTCTTAGCTCCTAGCTCCTAAACCTCTCGCCATTTCATGGGAGAGCCTGGCTAAGTTAGTCTTCTAACATGGGAGCCCCAGGGTCGTGTGCTTCTGCTGCTGTGGCAGCAGGGGCATTGCAAGTAGGCTGTAGAGAGGAGATGCATGAGGAGTTATGGATAAGGCATGAGGAGATGATGGGCAATGGGGCAGGGGAAGGTGGGGGGAAGCAGGAGGGCTAATCTACAGTACCGTAACTGGACTGGAACATGTGTGCAAGAGCGGAGCCGGTTCCTTTAGCCGGACCGTTTTCTATCACTTCCGCTGCGCATTCCTCGCTCTCCTGCGCAAGTCATCAGGTACATGAGGCAACCCACCAGCTCTGCGTAGGGGCCGCTGGGCTCTACCGACTCCTCAGACACTGGAGCGGAGAGTCTGTGGTCTATAAGCAGAGGGGTGGGCTGTGCAGAGGAGAACTGAAGGCTGAACCTCTGAAGGACCTGGCGCACCAAGTGTGACTGAGTCAGGGTGATGGTGCACTCTGCTCTGTCCCTGGAGATCTGCAAGCCAAGGTAACGGCGCAATTCTCCAAGGTCAGTGCATGTGTGTCGCTTCAGCAGCTCTGCCTTCACGGAGGCCAGTGCGTCCCTGTCCGCTGTGGCAAAGACCAGGTCGTCGACGTAAACAAGGATGTAGAACGGAGTCTGGCCAGCACGAACGAAGAGTGAGGGGTCTGCGGAAGACGGAAAGAACTGCAGGTCAGCAAGCGTAGCACGGAGAGTGTCGTGCCACTCACGGGGAGCCTGGCGCAGGCCGTAGCTTGGGCGCCGCAGGAGCCACTGGGTCCCAGGTGGGAAGGTGCCAGTAAAGCCTTGAGGGCGATCAAGTAGACCTGCTCGTGTAGGCTGCCCTGAAGGAAGGCAGTGGAGAAGTCGAGGGAGTGAAGCTCGTAGTCACGCTGGGCAGCTAGGTGTAACAGAACCCGAAGAGTAGTCATCTTCGGGGTCGGAGCGAAGGTCTGGAAGAAGTCCACCCCCTCATGCTGACTGAAGCCTCTAGCCATGTAGCGCGCCTTGAACACAGGCGGCTCTCCAGGAGGGCGCTTCACCTTGAAGAGCCAGCGGCCATCGACTACGTTCACCCCAGGCGGGGGAACTGCGTCGACGAAGGTGCCGGTGGATCTCCAAGATGCCATCTCCTGCTCCATGGCAGCGATCCAGTGAGAGGCCCAAGGTCCCGAGGTCGCCTCAGCGTAAGTGCGAGGGGTCGGGATGTCGAAAGCGTCTGGGTCACCCTCAGGGACTAGCAGCATGGAACAGAGATGGGGAGCAGCCTCGGAGAGGAAAGCAAGCTCGAACTGGCGGTCCTCCAGGACGTCACTGCCAAGGGCAGGAGCACCCCCGACAGACGGAGGACAGGTAGGGTCAGAGACCAGAGCGGTGGCGTAGTCAAGGCGGCGGGTAGAGGCGAAGTCAGCGACCGCAGCAACAAGAGCGTCAAGGCACGAGACCGGAACAGACGGGTCGGTAACGAGAGAGGCAAGGACCCGAGAAACAAGAGGACGAGCGGCACGGAGGTAGTCAGACAGCGGGGGGGGTGCCACAACAAGGGAGGACGGAGGAGGCAACGGCAGAAGTGGAGGACGAGACGCGTGGGAACGAAGCAACATAGGGTGGGAGCGCAAGACAGGCGAGGCAGGACGGGCACGAGAGGGAAGGTGAGACCAGACGTGCGACGGAGGAGTCGGGTCAGGAGACAAGGGAGGGGACACAGGAGGGGAACGAGGAGGAAGACGGGCCGGGGACGAGTCCGGCGGAGGGAACACAGGGCCGTAGACGGGAAGTGGAGGAGACGGTCGGAGAGGAACAGCCACAGGGTCAGGGGACGGAAGGCCGAGCAGGCGAAGGGCTGACACCGGCGGGGACTGCTGCTGCGGCGGCACAACGGCAACACCGGGACTGCATGCTGCTCCTCGGCTACCACCGGCAGACTCCACACTAGCACCCCCAGAGGAACCACCCCCAGGGCGACCGGGACTGGCACCCCCAGAGTCAACGAACGGGTGCTGTGACGGCGGCGGGGGCGGCTGCAGCGACACCGACGGCTGCAGCGGCGGCAGAGGCGGTGGACGAGGGGACTGGGGAGGGGACGCCAGGGGGAGGGGCGGCCGGCGAGGACTGTGCAGCAGGGCCACCAGAGTCAGAAGACTCCTCAACCGGGTCCACCGACGGAAGGGGGGTGACGTGGGACACACCAGAGGGGGCAGGATGGGGAGGAGGAGGAGGAGGGGCAGGGACTACCGGGGAAGGAGTGACCAGGAACAGAAAGGGTAACCGGGGGACCGCGGTGGGGGAAGCGACGGTAGTAGGAGACAGACTCGTCAAAGGTGACGTCGCGAGAGTGAAAGAAGCGGTGAGACGGCGGGTGGTAAAAGTGCCAGTCGGACGCGTCAAGGGGAAAACCGAGGAAGACGCAGGGAAGGGTGCGGGCAGTGAGCTTGTCCGTGCCGGAGGCACGGACGTGAGCAAGGTAGCCCCAGACGTGGAACGCAGACGCGTCACCAGGGGACCCAGTCCAAAGACGGGTCGGCGAAACCTGCGGCTGCTGAGGGTGCGGCCACAGGTTAAGCTGGTGAGAGGCGTAGCGCACAGCGAACGGCCACAGAAAATGGGGTGCACCGGCATGGATCATGGAGGTGCGAGCCACCTCCATGACCAAACCGATGCGTCGCTCAGCGACCCCATTCTGCTGTGGGGAGTCCGGTAGGGTGAACGTCTGGGTGATGCCCTCCGCACGACAAAAGCGACCAAGGACACCGGAGGCAAACTCGCCACCACGGTCGGAGTGAAGACGCAAGACAGGGAGACCGCGGTGGACACGCGCCGAGACAAGCCAGGGGATGAGAGCGCCAGGCACGTCGGCCTTGCGCTCCAGGGGAAAGACTGTGGTGTAACGAGTAAAGTCGTCAACAAGCACAAGGAAGTAGCGCTCACGACGCGGCCCAGGGACGGGGGCGTGGCCCCAGACGTCCAGGTGCAGGGTCTGCAGCGGCGCGGCGGTAGGGGGAAACGAGGAGGAGTGGGGGCACGGCGAAGCCGACCCTCGACACAAGGCGTGCAAGGTGGGGCTGGGGAGGAGGGAAACGCGGGGAGAGAACCTGGGAGACCAAGGACAAGATCGTGCTGAGACATGTGACGCAGACGCGGGAGCGCAGGGTGACCTAGGCGGTGGTGCCAAAGGAGAGTCGGGTGAGTGAGGGACCGACAGGAGCAGGCAGCAGCAACCTGTGTAGACGCAGCCACCTGAGGGAGCGCTCCAGCTGGGGGGGTCAGCAAGTGAGACGGCAGCTGGGACAGGAAGCGGCGTCAGGGTGGTGAAGTCGCGGAAGAAACACCGGGAAGCGCCAGAGTCCAAGGTGAAGGAAAGCGAGGCAGAGGCGTCTGGCGACGGAACGACGGCGGAAGCACCAGGACTACACAAAGCAGGGGATCCTACGCCTGACGCAGCAGGGGAGGGTAAGCTAGGCACACCTACACTAGCTGACAGTGAGTAATAAGCGGGTAGCACACTAGAGTCATCAGCATACATCACATGCAAAGCAGAAACAATGGCATCCATGTCCATATCGAAAATCGGAATCTGACGACTAAGCAAACTGTGCCAGTCCGGGAGGTCTGGCGACGGGCCAAAGCGCTGACGAAACAGATCGTCCAGGCGACGGAAACAGTGGGGAGTGGAGTGACCGATCTTACCGCAAACGAAGCCGCGGCGAGGACCGGTCTGGATCTGGTACTGACAACGCACGCCTCCAGGACCACCACTCGGCACACCACCACGCGCCCGACCGCCGCCAGCACCGGGCCACCCGGGCGGGAGGACACTCGTCTGCCGCGTCTGCGATGGCTGCTGCGGCTGCTGCGAAGGCTGCGGCTGCTGCGACTGCGGCGACTGCTGCGGCTGCTGCTGCTGCTGCGACTGCAGGGGCGGCGGCTCAGCGGGACTGGGCAGGGTCCCCGCGTCCGCTCCAGCACCAGACGACCCGACTCCACCACCACCCCCTCCCGCCACCCCGCCTCCTCCGCCGCGCCCAACCTTGGGGCGGCGACCCTTCCCCGAACGGAACTGCGCTGCAGCAGCAGTCTCAGCCACAGCGGCAGAGCCGTCGGAGAAGGTACACTGAGCGGGGGCACAACCCTGAAAGATAGGGACCGGCATGGTACCGCTCGCCTGGGCGATGGAGCGGTGGCGGGTCTCAATCACAGTCAGGGTGTCTACAAAGTCTGTGAGGGTGAGGTCTGCGGGGTGAATGCTAAGGAAGTGGTCGCGGGCGACAGCAAGGCGGTCAGGGAGGCGGGTGGCAAGCAGGTAAATGGTAGAGGTAATGGGCTGCTGGTGGGCTCTAAGCTGTGCGTCAGTGCAGGCAGCGCGCCAGGTCTCATCTATCGAGCGCAGGTGGGCAGCGAGGTCAGAGACAGTGGGGAAAGACGCAAGATCAGGAAAGAGCATCGGGAGGATCAGGCGACCCACCGAGGCAGCCGGAGGGGTGGAATAGCGCTTGATCACGGCATCTAGGTAAGCCTGAGCAGTAGTGAGGGATCGAAAGCGAGGGCGCTCGAACGGGGGAAGGGCGTTGCTAATGGCAAGCTGAGCGACTGCATCGCGAGAAAGCCAGACAGAGCGCGCACGGGCAGTGGCAGCAGTGGACTCGCGCTCAGTGGGTGTGGAGTCAGCGGGCAGAACAGCAGGAGGGTCTGGGCAGGGGAGCGTACTGTCAAGGTGTGCGGAAAGCGGTTCACCATCCTGCCGCTGGCCAGTGAGTTGGCGCCGAAGGTCGGCAAGCCACGCCTCAAACTCCAGAGGCTGGCCTTCAGCATCGAATCGAAGCTCCGCCGCCATCAGGGGCAGTGCAGGGCGGGACAGTACGGTGCAGTGCAGTGCAGTGCAAAGCAAGGCAGTGCAGGGCGGTGCAGTGCGGTGCAGGGCAGTGCAGTGCGGTGCGGGGCGGTGCAGGGCGGTGCAGTGCGGTGCAGGGGAGTGCAGTGCGGTGCGGGGCGGTGCAGGGCGGTGCAGTGCGGTGCAGGGCAGTGCAGGGCGGTTCAGGGAGGGGGGAACCGTACCAGTGAGGATGGAGGGGCCGGGGCAGGGATGAGCGCAGGGGCCGGGCCGGTGCGGCGGGGCCCGGCAGGCGCGGCGGGACCGGGCAGGGTGCAACGGGGCCGGGCGGGTACGACGGGGCCGGGCGGGCGCGACGAGGCCGGGCGGGTGCAACGGGGCCGGGCGGGTGCGTCGGGGCCGGGCAGGGCGCGACGGGGCCCGAGCGGGTGCGACGAGGCCGAGCAGGTGCGACGGGCGGGCGGGTGCAACAGGGCCGGGCGGGTGCGTCGAGGCCGGGCAGGGGGCGACGGGGCTTGCAGGCGTGACGGGGCCCAGGAGGGGCACTGCGGGGCCCAGGAGGGGTGCAACGGGCCAGGAGGGCGCGACGTGGCCGGGCGGGTGCGACGGGGCCGGGCAGGTGCGACGGGGCCGGGCAGGGCGCGACGGGCCGGGCGGGTGCGACGGGGCCGGAAGGCTTGACGGGGCCCAGGAGGGGCTCTACGAGGCCCAGGAGGGGCGCTACAGGGCGAGGGGCGCAGCAAGGCCCGGGAGGGTCGCAACGGGGCTAGGAGGTCGCGACGGGGCTAGGGGGGGTCGCGACTGGGCCCAGGAGGGGTCGCGACTGGGCTAGGAGGTCGCGACGGAGCCCAGGGGGTCGCGACTGGGCTAGGAGGTCGCGACGGGGCCCTGGAGGGACGCAGCAGGGCTAAGGGGCACGACGGGGCCGAGGGGCCGCGACGGGGCGAGAGGGTCGCGACGGGGCCCAGGGGTCGCGACGGGGCTAGGGGGTCGCAACGGGGGCCAGGAGGGGCGCGGCGGGGCTAGGGGCACTACGGGCCCTGTGGGACGCGACGGGGCTAGGTGATCGCGACGGGGCTAGGCGAGGGGCACGACGGGCCCAGGGGGGAAGGTGCGACGGGGCCTAGCTAGGGGACGAGCAGAAGCGGTAGGTGGGGAGGGATCCTAACCTACGCGTGATACCATATCTAAGTTGAGAGAACAGAATAATCACTAGTGATAGAGTACAGATCGATATACCTACGAATTGTACCCTCTAACAGGTGACCCTATACAGTCTATACAAACATAACGACTACACATGTTTGACATTTGGCACCTACTCCGTGGGCATGTGTGTCTCAGTGACCTCCTGGCTTGAATATTCTTCTAAAAAAATCGCCAATGCTATTTCCTGGTGGCTTTTTGGACCGTGGGACTCGTTTGGGTGGGGGCGGCGGAGGGGAGGGCGGGGGCGGCGGAGGGGAGGGTGGGGGCGGTGGGGACGGAGGGGGAGAAGGAGGTGAGGGGGGAGGAGGGGGAGAAGGGGGAGGAGGTGGGGGTGCGAGAGGGCTAGGAGGAGGTGGTGGGAGGGTGAGCTTGCAGGAGCCGGTCTCCAGGTCCCAGTTTTGCTGTACGAGAAACTTTGCCCCGTTGACTCCCACCAGGTTGTGCTTGATGTCTGAGGCGTCTTGGAGAATGGGGTCGAACCTAGGGGGTGGCATCGGGAATGGGGCCAGTGTAGGGATTAGTTTTTTTTAAGAATCTACAACACCAACTAATCACAGTGGAGGGTGAGGTTGCAGGAGCCAGTCTCCAGGTCCCAGTATTGCTGAATGAGGAATTTCGCCCTGTGGCCCCCACTAGGTTGTGCAGAAAAGACAAGTGGCAGAGATTGTGCAGCAGAGAGTGTGCAGAAAAAAGTGTGCAGCAGAGAGTGTGCAGCAAAAAGTTAGCAGCAGAGAGTGTGCAGGAGAGAGTGTGCTGAAGGCTGCTTACTTCCACGCGCATTTGTCGGCGTTTTCGTAGCCCTCGTTGTCGTACCACGTGGAGAGGTAAGGGTTGGAAGCCGCCTCAGCGAGCTCATGGGCAAACACGGACACGAGGGCGTCGATGCCCGGGTCTCCCGTGGGGGACTGAGAGGGTGCTGAGCGGATGGCATTGGGAATGCAGGAGTCGGGGCACTGCACAGGGAGGGGAAGAACAGAGGGGGGAAGGGAGGGAGAGGAAGTGAGAGGAAGTGACAGGTTGGGGAGGAGAGCACGAGAGGGGTTGCAATTTGAGACGTCTCAAGATTGGGAGGGTGCTGAGCGGATGTTGCAGGATTTGGGGCACTGGAGAGAGGGGAGGGGAGGTGAGAGAGAGAGGTGAGGGGTCGGGGTGCAAGCTGACATTGTAGCAAGCAAAGCAGGGTAGCAAGGCGTCATGCGGAGGTAGTTGATTTCTGAGAATTATTTGAACCAGAGCTCATGCAAGTTGGCCTTGTAGCAAGCACGGCATCATGCGAAGGTGGTTGAGCTATCTCTATTTTGAGGTCTCACTCTCGAGCAGGCTTGCATTGCTGATCCAACAGTTGTAGTAATAAAACTTTTGAGTAATCGGGCAGCTGCAGTGGTTGAGTAAGCAACGAAACACGTTGACGCAGTGACCATGCGTGATTTTTAAGCACCTCTAGAATAGGTTCCACTCACAATCAATTTCGCGTTGCCAATCCAAGAATAAACGTAGCTGCCATACGAATCGGCCCAACTGTGTTCGTGCCACCCGCAGAAATGCGTGCAGAACTTCTCAGCCGTGCTTTTGTTGGTCCATTTCTGCAGCAGCAGTAGGGGGGGTGAACGGGGGGGGGAGGGGAGGGGGGGTGGGGGGGGGATAACGATCCTTGAGTCGGCCCAACTGTGTTGGGTGCCACCAATTAGAGTAAGAAAGCCAACTCTTCTGAGACATGCTCAGGTTGCACCTTTGCTGCAGCAGCCAGGGGTGGGAACAGATGACTTTAGAGGCGATCCCAAATACTTGTCAGACGTGCTCAGGCCACCCCATTTCTGCAGCAGCAGTAGATACACAGGATATAAAAAAGAGCGTTTTTTTTTTTTTTAAGAGTTCTTGAAACAACTTCTTTCATGCGTGCTCAGGTTGCTCTAGTTCTGTGGCAGTAGAGACGCTGCTGGGGATTTTTGAGACGCCCCAAAGGTTTGAGGCGATTTTCGAGGCGCCTCAAGAGACGCTGCTGGGGGGAGGGATGACACTTGGCACACCCGGATGGGGAACCGATGACTGTTGAGTCGACTTAGAAAGACTTCTGAGACATGCTCAGGTTGCCACATTTCTGCAGCAGCAAAGCAAGTAGAGACACCAGCCAGGAGGGACAACGAATTACACCATCAGGGGCTACAAAATGCAACGGGCCACCCAAACAAGGTACAGCTCCAACTCCATACTGTACCGCACTGCACCTGCCAGCACCGAATCACACCTGGCTGCTGACAGCCGACCCAAGCAGACTTCTGAGTCGACTTAAGAAGACTCGCACCCACCTGTGTGACGAGCTCTCATGAGACAAAAAAGTAGACTGTAGCCGGGTTGTGGGGGAACTTCTGGCTGGTTATAGCCAAACCTAGCAATCTTCTGAGTTGACTTAAGAAGAATCGCACCCACCTGTGTGACGAGCTCGTCCAATAGGACAAACTAGAGTGCAGCGCAGTCCTGGGGAAACTGCTGGGTACCAAAAGCCACCGGTAGCAGGTCCTGCACATGGGTCATTAGCAGCACCTTGCCCTTGCTGCACGCCCTGTTCCAATACCATACTGTACCGCACTGCACCTGTCTCCTCCGCACCTTACCTGTGTCACGAGCTCGTCTGATATGACAAAGTAGACGGCAGCGGGGTCGTAGGGAAACTGTTGGGTTTTAATAGCCGCCGCTAGCAGGTCCTGCACGTGGGTCATCAGCAGCACCTTGCCCTTGCTGTAGGTTCGGTCCTCGAGGTCCCCGCCCCAGGTAACGATCGGCGAAATGTGGTTACCACCTGCGTCGTAGTAACGGCGATTGATGTTCCACCACAGAGGGACTGCACGGGGCAAAAGAGAAGGTTTGGCACACGGCAAATGGAGGGGAGGGACTGTATGAGTAAAGCTGTTTGTTCATTGGAAAGGAACAAAAAGAAGGAAAAAAAAAACCTTCACTGGTCGTAGTAAGGCCCTTACAAGGGGACTAGATGGCGGCAAATGGGATGGGTATGAGCCTGGCTCGCAAAGGGCCTACATTTGGCGGGCCAAGTTTAAGAATGCGGAGATCCTTTCAGGTCACAATGTTCACAAGCACACCCACCCACCAGTGACGGCGGCGTCGTCGTTGGGGCTGAGCGACGCGACGAACGAGCGAATCGTCTGCTTCTGCGCGTCGGAGAACACGCCGTACCACAACGCGAACACACCAATCGGCCGATGCATCACGTTGCACCGCTCGTCACTGCACCACGGCCCCCATCGCGGGACGATCCCGATGGCCTCTGCTGCCGCCGCCGCCGCCAGGGTCGTCGCTTGGCCGCCGTGGCTTTCCCTGGGGTGGGGCAAAGGACATCAGCCGCACAGCAAAATATTGTTAGCGCCGCCCCTCCCTGCACCACGGCCCCCACCGCAGGACCATCCTGATGGCCTCTGCCGCCGCCATCAGAGTCGTCGCACGACCGCCTTGGCTTCCCCTGAAGGTAGATCGAAGGACAATAGCAGCACAGCAAAGTATCATTAGCACCGCTCTTCACTGCACCACGGCCCCCACCGCAGACCATCCTATGGCCTCTGCCGCCGCCACCAGGGTCGCCGCCGCCGCTTCCCCTGAGGTGAGCAAAGGACAATAGCAGCACAGCAAAGTATCATTAGCACCACTCTTCACTGCACCACGGCCCCCACTGCAGGACCATCCCGATGGCCTCTGCCGCCGCCACCAGGGTCGTCGCTCGGCCGCCTTGGCTTCCCCTGAGGTGGAGCAAAGGACAATAGCAGCACAGCAAAGTATCATTAGCACCGCTCTTCACTGCACCACGGCCCCCACCGCAGGACCATCCCGATGGCCTCTGCCGCCGCCACCAGGGTCGTCGCTCGGCCGCCTTGGCCTCCCCTGAGGTGGAGCAAAGGACAATAGCAGCACAGCAAAGTATCATTAACACCGCTCTTCACTGCACCACGGCCCCCACCGCAGGACCATCCCGATGGCCTCTGCCGCCGCCACCAGGGTCGTCGCTCGGCCGCCTTGGCTTCCCCTGAGGTGGAGCAAAGGACAATAGCAGCACAGCAAAGTATCATTAGCACCGCTCTTCACTGCACCACGGCCCCCACCGCAGGACCATCCTGATGGCCTCTGCCGCCGCCACCAGGGTCGTTGCTCGGCCGCCTTTGGCCTCCCCTGAGGTGGAGCAAAGGACAATAGCAGCACAGCAAAGTATCATTAGCACCGCTCTTCACTGCACCACGGCCCCCACCAGGGGACCATTCCGATGGGCTCTGTGGCGGCCAGGGTCGTTACCGTGAGCAGGTCAGAGTGATCACTGACTCGTTATCATCCCCTAGACGGTAATGCAATGTTCTTAACGTACGGAAGCCAGGCAGCCCGGCAGCCCGGCAGCCAACTAATACTACCAGCGGATCGGACGCACCTTGTGATGACGGATGCTATTCCGCTGGGCCGACGAGCCACGGTCCGAGCCACTGTCCGAGCCACGGCGACATTCAGATTTCCGACTCCCCCGCCGTTCGGCGCGAGCGGCGGCTGCAGGCCCCGCCCTGGCAGTGGCGGAGCTGTCTGCAGCCGCAGCGCGGAACGTCGTCGCGCCAATGGGCCGGGAGTCGCAGGAGGGCCTGGTGGGGCCGGTGTTTCAGGAGGTGCCCCGCGGCTGAGCGGCGTTGATCTCTGAACTCCATGGGCCGCTTGAAGCGGCCGCAGATGCTGCCGCAACGAGCGGGCCGCGCTACGTACTGTAGGAGGCTCGACGGTCGGAGTAGCAGTAGCCTGCCACGTCGCTCTGAGGGGGAGGATCGACAGTACGCTCGCTGCTGTCACTGCTAGCGAAAGCATATAATACCGCGCCGCCGCATTGGCTCTGCTGCGTCGATTCGCTACTAGAGCATGATGGCTGCATAGCGATCTGCGGCGGCATTGATTTGTTCTTCTGCCTCGGAAGCTTTTGCCGAATGATAAACAGGCGGCTGATTCCATGATTCGTCAGCGGTGCTGCTGACGACTTTCAGGCAGTCGGTTCTAGCTTCGCTTGAATCTTTCGGGAAAAGAGTCGCAAAGGCAAAGGAACTACGCGTAGTCGTGCCGTAATGTTATGTCGCGAAAGGAGTCCTTTCTGAAAGTGCAGTGAACGGCGACCATGTACTAGTAGACGGGCACGGGCGGCGTTCCCGCGATAACTTCGGCACGTGACTCCCTTCCCGTGCCTCGGAGGCACGCAAGAATGCAGCAAGTTGAAGTCAATCGACTCGTAATCGTGCGAATTGAGGCATTTGTAGTGACTGAAGGGTCATGAGACCAGGCTACCGTAGTATCGGCGGCAGCTGTTACGCGGTTCTCGGGTCGCGCGGACTGCTCGCTTGAAAAGAGAAGAATACAGAAGGTTGGCTTTCTCCTGCTTCGTTGCATCTGCTTCGCAAAATGCTGCCCCCACGTCTCAAACCATGGGGTGCCAAAACCATGGGCGGCACATCTCTCCTCTTCCATGTGCCGCCCCGCCCCAGCCGTTAGCACGAAACGCGAAGTAGCGAATGTCAACTCCACTGCTTGCCAGCCATCCTGAGGAAGGCGGCTCGCTGGCGTTCTTCTGCTGTCTAGAGGCTGCCTGCTTGGGGGAAGGGGTTCGCCGAATTTCTGGTGGAGGGAGGATGTGGTGGTAGGCCGTTTCTGAGGGCAGATTCGGCACAAACGACGCTCGCGAAATCAGCGATCAAGGTCCGAAACATGAGAAACAGGCTGGTAACCAGTTTAATGCGACGACGACACAGCATCCTCCTACCCACTACTTTCATCGTCCCCCTCCCACCAAACCAACCGCAAACCCCATCCCTCGGCGCTTCAACCTCTCGCGCGTGGCGGACCAACCGTACATAGTTACCAGTTTTTTCTCACAAGGCCCAACAGCGAGCAAGCTGCGAAGCTCAGTTCGCGGCTGTATCGCTCAAGCTCGCTTCGGATTGGGCGACAAGGCTTGTTTTGCCCGCCCACCACTATCCTCGCTCACATCCAGGTGGTCACAACAGAGCCACAGTCTGTCAACGAATTTCTCTTGTCTGCATATTTTGTCAACGTTCGATCCTCGATATGATCCATAGAGTTCTATATTGGCTGTACGGTAACTTAGTGTTTCTATGTTTTCAAGAGCTAAACCTTTATGTTATGTGGTAACCTTTGTGTGGTATGGTATGCTAACTTGGAAGCGGGGTATGTATACCAGCCAAGGACCACATCATATGTTTTCTCGGTGTTTTTATTCAGATCCTTGCAATTGAGGCACCAATGACCAGTCTTTGAGAGTAATACAATACAAGTCATTGACGCATGGAAGAACGGAAGTTGATTGACAAGCATGTTGATCGGGGCACCATTATATTTGATTCCCACATTTGACCCCTTCTCTACAGGCACGTGTGGTCTCAGTGACCTCCTGACCATAATTTTATCTTAAAAAAAAACACCAATGCTATTTCTTGGTGCCAATTTTGGTGGGGGGGCTCATTTGGGACGGGGCGGGGGGGAGGGCGGAGGCGGAGGGGACGGCGGGGGAAGAGGAGGGGAAGGGGGAGGAGGGGGGGAAGGGGGAGGAGACGGTGGGGGTGGAGGGGAGGGCGGAGGAGAGGGGGGTGAGGGGGGTGAGGGAGGGCTAGGAGGAGGTGGTGGGAGGGTGAGCTTCCAGGAGCCGGTCTCCAGGTCCCAGTTTTGCTGAACAAGGAACTTTGCTCCGTTGACTCCTACCAGGTTGTGCTTGATGCTTGAGGCGTTTGGGAGTAGGGGGTCAAACGTGCAGGATGGAAAGGGATGGAGCAGGGTAGGGTACGGTAGATTACGGTAGGGTAGGGTAGGATAGGATAGGGACCACAACAACATTAGTAGGGCATGGAAGTGTTACTGTTGGTGCTTGGATAAAGAACAAGCCATGTGTCTGGAAAGGGGCAAGTGGCGGGTTGAGGGGCAAAGGGTGCTTGCTTGCTTCCCTGTGCACGGAAGTCACTGGAACGGATGCGTGGTGCACTTGTCTGCATTCGCATAGGCCATGCCATCGATCCAGGAGGTCATGAAGAGGTTGGAAGATCCAAGAGGTCATGAAGAGGTTGGAAGATCCAGGAGGTTATGAAGAGGTTGGAAGATCCAGGTGGGCACGGTGATTTTTGAGTGGACTCGCAAGTCACCTCCACAAGTGACACGTGTGGCAGAATGTGCGGCAGGAGAGAAGTCACAAGTGGCAGAAGGTGTGGCAGAGTGTGCAGCAGAGTGTGGAGCAGAGTGTGCAGCAGAGTGTGGAGCAGAGTGTGCAGCAGAGTGTGGAGCAGAGTGTGCAGCAGAGCGTGCTTACTTCCACGGGCACTTTTCTGCATTCTCGTAGTCTGCGCCATGTGACACCTCACCAAAGTGACATGTGGCGGTGTGCAGTAGGAGAGGAGTAACAAGTGGCTGAGAATGTTTACTTCCACGAGCGCTTCTCTGCATTGTCATAGACCATGCCATCTAATTAGGTGGTAATGAAGAGGTTGGAAGCGGTGACTTTTGAGTCGACTCAAAAGTCAACGGGAAAGTGCAGAGGGTGCTTACTTCCACGGGCATTTGTCCGCATTCTCGTAGCCCGTGCCGTCGTACCAGTTGCCGTAAAAGAGGTTGCACGCAGCCTCTGTGAGCTCATGGGCAAAGACAGCCACGAGGCCGTCGATCCCAAGGTCACCTGTGGGGGACTGGGAGAGCGCTGAGCGGACGTCGTTGGGAAGGCAGGCGTTGGGGCATTGCAGACGGGGGAGGGGCACTGCAGATGCGGAAGGGGTGGGAGGTGGGCAGGTGAGAGGATGGAGTAAGATATGTTGACACTGGAGCAAGGTATCAAGCTGATGTGCTTGAGTACTCGTGCTTTGTGGATTCCACTCACCATCATATCTGCACCTCCCATTCAGGAGTGGGCATAGTAACCACACTTTTCAGCCGCACGTGTCAGCCGCAAGTGTCGGCCACACATGTCGGCCGCAAGTGTCGGCCACACATGTCGGCCGCACGTGTCAGCCCAAGCATTGTGGTGCCACCCGCCCACAAAAATGGATGCAGTAGGCACTTAAAAATAGGATATGTACTTATGAGTAAGTTTGCGTTGCCGATCCAGGAGTTGGCATATTAGAAACCATACGTGTCAGCCCGAGTGCAGTGCTTGAGCAATCAGGCTGCAGCAGTTGATTGAGCCAGGAAACGTGCTGCAACACTTGCGGTAACCCGCTTCAACAGGTGTTGCAATGTACCAGCAGGTTGTTGTTGCCAGTCCACGAGTAGGCGTAGCAATCATAAAGATCGGCCAATCATCGTCGTGCCATCCGTAGTAATTCCAGCAGATTCTACGTACCAGCAGCTGGGCGTTGCCAATCCACAAGTAGGCATAGCAGCCGTATGAGTCGGCCCAAGTGTAGCACCTGAGAAATTGTACAAGTCGGCCCAAGTATAGCGCCTGAGCAACTGTACGAGCCGGCACTGCAGCATACCAGCAGGTTGGCGTTGCCGATCCGCGAGTAGGCGTAGCAGCCGTATGGCTTGGTCCAAGCTTAGATATGCGACCCACCGAGGTGCGTGAATAACATATCTTAGATTTGTGAGTGCAGGCTTGCTTGAGGCACCTCAAAAGCAGATTCCACTCACCAGCAGGATGGCGTTGCCGACCTACGAGTAGGCAAAGTAGCCGTACGACTGGGTCCAATCGTAGCTGTGCCACCCGCACTAACTTGAGCAGAAACTTTTGGTCGTGCTTAGGTTCTTTTTCTGCAGCATTGGGGGGGGGGGGGGGGGTGGGGGGCGCGGGGGAGATAAATGTTGAGTGGTCGGCGCGTTTTGAGACGTGTCAAAACTCTGTTCGAGTGGGCCCAAATGTAGCTGTGGCATCTGCAGAACATGCCAGTCTTGCTCGGGTTGCTCTTTCTCTGCAGCAGTAGAGACATCATGTGAGGGGAAAAGAACTAATGAGACACTAGGGGGAAAATATTACTTTCGAGTCGAATCAAGAGACTTCTCAGACGTGCTCAGGTTGCTCCTTCCATGGAGCAGTCGAGATGCCAAGGGGGGGGGGGGAAGCAGGTGGTTTTTGAGAAATCATCATTTTCAGCACCTTCAACTATTTTTAAAGACCATTCCTGCACCTGTAGACATGCAGGGAGGGTAAAAAATATTAACTGAATTGCTGGGTCGGAAAATAAGAAATTTGAGTCAACTCAAAAGACTTCTCAGACGTGCTCAGGTCGCTCCCTCTCTGCAGCAGTAGAGGAGAAATGGAGAAATGGAAACCTGCCTCCACTGAATCCCACCTGTGTGACGAGATCGTTAGAGATCACGAAGAAGACTGCTGCGAGGTCCTGGAGAAGCTTCAAACTGGTAGAAGCTGACCTTAGCAGGCCCTGCACTTGCTCCTGCAGCAGCACCTTGCCCTTGCTGTACGCCCTGTTCCAGTCCTAGACTGTTCCGCAATGCACCTGTCACCACCGCTTTGCACCTCCCTCCACCAATTCGCACCTGTGTGACGAGCTCGTCCGATAGGACAAAGTAGACTGCAGCAGGGTCCTGGGGAAACTTCTGGCTGGTAAAAGCCTCCCTTATAAGGTTCTGCACCTGCTCCCGCAGCAGCACCTTGCCCTTGCTGTACGCCCTGTCCTCGAGCTCCCCGCCCCACGTAACCTATGCCGAAATGTGGTTACCATCTTGGTCGTAGTAATGACGGTTGATGTTCCACCATAGCGGGACTAGAGAGGGGAAACGGGATGGGTATGGCACACGTGGGGTACGCAAGTGAAGCTTTGTTTTAGGTTGAAAAGTTCAAAGAAAGAAAAGAAAAGAAAAACTGAGACACCTACACTGGTTGTAGTAACAGCGGTTGATGTCCGGCGGCGGTTGTGCCCTCTCAGTCTCCGAGCCTAGTGGGAGTACCCACCACCAGTGAGGGTGGCGTCTTAACTGGGTGGCAGTGACCTCGTACCCTCTCTGCCTAGTACCCACCAGTGACAGTTTTGAGACGTCTCAAAAATCTCAGCCTAGTACCCACCAGTGACGGTTTTGAGATGTCTCAAAACTCTCAGCCTAGTACCCACCAATTACAGTTTTGAGACGTCTAAAAAATCTCAGCCTAAGTACCCAGCAGTGACATTTTTGAGACGTCTCAAAACTCTCAGCCTAGTACCCACCAGTGACAGTTTTGAGGCATCTTAAAACTCTCAGCCTAGTACCCACCAGTGACAGTTTTGAGACATCTCAAAGCTCTCAACCTAGTACCCACCAGTGACAATTTTAGACGTCTCAAAACTCTCAGCCTAGTACTCGCCAGCGACAGTTTTGAGACGTCTCAATACTCTCAGCCTAGTACCCACCAGGGGCGGCGACGTCATCTCTGGGGTTGAGCAACGCCGTACCGTCCTGGCGGGGGCTCTACGAGACCCTCTCAGGCGCCGACTCTGGCTCACACAGGGCCTATTTACGGCGGGCCTACTATGAGAATGCACGGAGATCCTTCCTGGGTGCGAGCCGAGTAGTACCCACCAGTAATGGCAAACACGCTGTACCACAGCACAGACATGCGGATTTTACGGTGCAGCACGCCGCCCTCTCAAACGCCGAGCCAGAACCCACCAGCCCAGTACCCACTAGCTCGGTACCCACCAGCCAAGTACGCATCAGTGACAGCAGCGTCTTCGTTGGGGCTGAGCGATGCGACGAAAGAGCGAATCGTCTGCTTCTGCACGTCGGAGAACACCCCGTACCACAGTGTGAAGACGTGGATTGGTCGATGCACCATGCCGCACGACACGTTCCTGCACTACGTCCCCGACCGTGGGAGGATTCCGATGGGCTCTACCGCCGCCAAGGCCGTGGCTCGGCCGCCTTGACTTTCCTTGGGGTGGAGCAAAGGACATCAGCAGCACAACAAATTATTGTTAGCGCCGCTCGTCCCCCCACCATGGCCCCCACCGCGGGACCACGGGACGATTCCGATAGGCTCTGCCACCTCCAGGGTCGTCGCGGCTCGACCCCCTGCCGCTGCGCCGCCTTGACCTTCCTTGGGGTGGGTGAAGCGAGGCGCCGCGAAGACTTTAGATACGGCTACAAGCGAGCAAATAAGGGATTCAAAAACCCTTGAGCAGAACAAAACCATTCAACTACTGTACCATTAAGTAGCAGTATTAGACGGATTTTGAAACAGGGCCGCCGCCTACTTCTAACTTATTTGAAATAGGACCCACCTTGTGTTGACGGGTGCGATTCCGGTGGGCCAACGAGCTGCGGCATTCACATCCCCGACTCCCGCGCCGTTCAGTGCCACTGGCAGAGCCGTCCCTGGCAGGGGCCGCGGTGTAACAAGACGGAGACGAAATCGTCACTCCCGATTTCGCCAACTAAACTCAATTTGATTTCGAGGTTGAAACCCTACCTCGGAACACGCCCTTGGGCATTTCGAAGGTTGAACCCAACCTCGAATTGTTCAACCAGTCAATCTGAGTTTCCAACCTTGGGAAAAACTACAGAGAGCACACAAGCCAGCCAAGCAGCGCAACAGAATAATCGACAGCGCACCTAGCGGAAAGCAACTACAGCCATGGTTTCTACCAACACTGCTATATCTCATCATTTCTATGAATGTCGTCAGCAACAGCAGTACAAGGAAAACTCGTCCTATACTATGCATGCTACTTTCTAGAATTCCAGCAAGGCTAAGTATGTATGCATGTAATCACTACCTATGCTTTGCTGTTCTTAGCTTAGCAAAGGTGAGATGTGACTTGGGAGACCTTCTCGAGGCGCCTCAATCATTTTCCTTGTATATAGTGGTGTGCTTCTTGTTTGAAAGCCATCATATGATTTCTGGTAAAACTACCTTGCTACTCTCACCTTTCAACTCTTCCAAGAATACCTCCTAACGCTACTATCTACTCCAAACAGCCAAGTGGCCGTTTCACGCGGAGCAGACAGCAGCCGCAACGCGGAACGTCGTCGCGCAAAAAAGGTGGCGAGATTCGCAGAGGGGGGCGGCAGGGCTGGCGGGGCTGCGGGGGCTGTGGGAGAAGTAGCCTTTGCTGGCGTTACCTGGAGGAGGAGAATTGACAGCACGCTCGCCGCTGTGATGTCGGCTAGCGACATTATACCGACGGCGCTGCGCGGCGGCTCTCCGTCGTTTTGCCAGACCCTCAAAGCAGCGGCAGAGCGATCCGCATCGCTGGTTCGTCTTTCTGCTTCTGAGTAGTGTCGGTAGTACTACTAACCGGCGAATACTCTTTGGCGAATACTAGATATAAGGACAATTTTTTGACACGGGTGGTGGCAGCTTCTCTTGGACATTCAACGCCGAGGAGCTCCTTTCTTAGAATAGCGCAGAACGACAATGGGCTTGCACGTTCAAGACGATGCGGTCAGGTCGATGGACACGTAATAGTGCGAGTTGAGGCATCAGTAGCAACTGAAAGAGCCATGCGGCCTGGGACAAAAGGATCAACAACATCGATTTCCCGCGTCGCGACGGTCGTTGGTGTGAAAAGCAAAGAAACAAAATGCCTCCCGCAAAAAAACAAGGACCTCGCGCTCGCTCTCTCTTGCCTCCCCCATCAGCTCCGCAAAATGCTGCCCCCACGTCGTCGCAAGGAAGACCTGCCACCACCTTACCCTACCCTAGCCCTTCGCACTCGGGGAGCAGCCAAGTTTCGAATGTCAACTCCTCGCTGCGCTGCCCGGTGGCCACTCTACCTACTGTACTACTCGCTGACTAGTACTAGTGCAGGGTGCATCTTCCCCGCTGGTTCTCACATTCTCCCGAGAAGGATGCGGATAGGGGTGCTAGTGTAGTACACCCAAGTGTTAGTTTAAATGGCACATATAAGAGTCTCATTTCTTGTTTCAACCACCACATGTAATGTTGCACGGAGGGCGAGTCCCGTCGAACGTGGGTTTCTCGGGCAAGCCACTCCGCATATCAAACAATCGCTCCGCATATCAAACAGTCGGCGATTTTAACAAATAATTTGGTGTAGTACCCCAACAGAATGGCACTGAATGGGATGGGAGCAAGAGCAATCAGCGATCCACCTACGAAACATGGGAATCGGTAACGCAAAGTCAATCTGTAACCAACCAGCTACAGCATCTACCCGCGATTGGCGACGAAGCATATCGCGAGCCTTCAACCTCTCACGTGTGACACACAGGGTTACCAACCAGCGTTATCCTCACTGAGGCCAGCAGCTACCGTACCAAGCACTCTCACGAAGCACCCCACTACAAAACCGCAGAGCCACATATTTTGTCAACCGATAAAATAAGGTCGACAAGTTTAGCAAGTCACCAGATTTTGTCAACATTTCTCAAATGGTAATGGATATTCTACACCAGGTTTTTGTTATAATCGCACTTGTTATAGTTGCCAAAATGGTACAATCCGCACCATGTTTGGGCCTTCAGTATGTGGAGGGGTCTGTGATGTCTGAGAAATCATAGCTTATGAATGAATTTGGATGGCGCCAGCTGAGTAATTTGTGCATACCTTGACAAGGGCATGTGACGCCCACAATCTAGGGAAATCTGGGCAGGAATTGGATACACCAATCCCAGAGCAGGATTCAGCTCGCTTCGCCACTGAAAATATGCCATCCAAACGCATGTTTCGTCTCGCTAAAACACCAATCACTCGAATGATTTTCAACCAATCGGGTGTCTCCAAACAATCTTGGCAGAGCCAAGCGAAGGTCTGGATGGGCTCCAAGGTGGTTTATTCTCGATTGCGCTGACTTGTCAAGGGGCTAATGCAAGGCATCGTTCTCCTCAGGGCAAAGTTAGACCGCGTGTTAGGCAGTTGGTACAGGTATGCCGAGCTGACCTGGGGTATAGGTTAACCTAACGGCTACTGCGCGACCCTGGACCCCCGGAGCACTGAAAGTGTCACCAGGTTGCACTAGCAAGGTCGCGTGCGATACAAGCGACTGCCACTATGTACAGCCATAACGAGCGGGAAAGTGAGTTGAGCTGGGTGGCAGACTCCCAGCCCCCCCCCCCCCCCCCCCACCAAATACTGTACTGGTCTGCCAGTTGCCATCTGCTCTTCTCGCACGATTTCACACGGCTTGCTCGGGAGATTTGTTCACATTTCAGCAGTCGCAGACCAAGGTCATGAGGAATGCTTACTATCTCGGCTTGTTTCGTGGCAGTTGGACTGTGAATACATGCGACGCTGAAATTGACGTGTAGACGTAATGTTTACAGGTTTCTGAGAGCGGGAAATGTTGCCGTGTGCTTAGAACTAAGCTGACACCAGGGCAGTATGTGCTTCCAAGTGTCAGGAAGGGCTGTACCGACCGCCTGACACACGGTCTAACTTGCCCTCAGTGAGTGGATGCGGTTTGGTGCATCTCTAAACCTAGTAACCCAAACTATACCAATTTCCCTGCTAACATGTAGCCTTCTCAAACGCGATTTGAAAATGAGCAAGATGACGTATTGTTTGTGCCAAACTGGGGCTAGGACCTCCAATTGGGCCAAACTTTACACATTGATTGTGACGTGCAGCGCATGCACATCGGCTGGAAATGGACCCCCTAAAAATGGTGGAAACTGAATGTACAGCGCATGGCCGCATGTAGAAAAAATAACACAAAGAAAAAAACAAAGATCAAGATTGAATGACGCGTGCGCCTCGACCCAACTCTGTCATCCGGCGTATGCCTAGTAATATTTCAACCACGAGTACAGGGGCTTGTTCACAAACTTGTCAGTTTCGTGAGCCAGCTCGCCATTCCGCGAAGTGTTACTCGCGCACTGCGAACACTAACGCCAAGTTTCACCGCCGAGACTTTGTGACACACTCGATGGCGAGGATCAACATTCGCCACAGCCTTACTCGTCGTGCTAAACGCGCCCTTGGTAAGCATGCTGAGTCCAACTCGACATTACGCTGCAAGGACTTGGCAGAGTGGGTTTATGCTGAATTTGGCTTCCTGCCTAGCCGTTCCACCATTGGCAAAATTCAGAAAGAGAGGAATGGCTGAATGACTCTCCAATCTCGGACAAGCAATGCCGTCGGCGCAAGGGTTGCAATCCCGACATGGAGGAGCCCTTGAAGGTGTGGATTAATGCTGCTGCCGCTGCTGGCTTACCCTCACGCTGGAAGTGATTCAAGAGCGTGCGCGGGGCCTTGTCCTCGAACTCGGTTTGCCTTCCGCCTTCCGTTGCAGCCTCGGGTGGCTCCAGAAGGCACTTGGGCGGATGGGCTTCAAAAGTCTCTCACGGAAGGGCGAGGCTGGAGATGCTGATATGGAAGGCGTGTACGATTACCGAATGAGCATGCCCCCTGTACTCGACGGTCTCGACGTGGCGCCGCGCGACCTGTACAACCTCGCCAAGCTGCCACTGTACCTTGGACTTCAGCCACGATGCTCCTTTTCCGCGACGACGCTGCCGGGAGGCAAAGCGGCTCGAGATCGGGTGACGGTGGTGCTCCTTTGCAATTCTGATGGATCCCACCAGTTCAAGCCTTTTGTCATTGCAAAGTTCGGAGCTTGTTGCTTCTCCCCCCACTCGTAAAAAATCCCCTTCTGCAGTAGGACGATTAGAGGTACAGTTAACCCCGCCATGTCGGGTATAAACCACCGCACGTAATTCACAAAACCCAGAAATGATTGCAGCTGCTGCAGATTTGTTGGCGGTTTCCACTCCTGAATAGCCCAGAGTTTTTTCGAGTCTATTTGAATCCCCTCCGTGGATATCACGTGCCCTAGGAACTCCAGTTCTTGTTTTAAAAACTCGCACTTGGAGCCCTTGGTGATGAGACGATGCTGCTGCACTCGCTGAAAAACCGCTTCCAAGTCCTTTAAATGTTCCTCCCGGGCCTTGCTGTAAATCAGGATGTCATCAAAGTAAATTATCACATATTTGTTGAGTAGATCGCGGAACACCCCGTTCATGGTGAGCTGGAACGTCAAGGGGGTGTTCGTTAATCCAAACGGCATCACCGTGTATTCGTATCTCCCGTAGCGAGTACGAGACGCGGTCTTGTAGCAGTTATCCGCGAACACTCTAATTTGATGGTAACCACCACGAAGGTCGATCTTCAAAAAATAGTAAGCTCCGCGAAGGTTGTCAATCAGCTCGTCCGTGCGTGGGATTGGATAGCGCGATTTAAACGTTACCCGATTAAGGGCACAATTGTCCGTACACATGCAAAGTCCGCCGTCCTTCTTTGGGGTGAACAGGATCGGCGCTGCAAACGGGGACGTGCTTGGCCGAATAAACCCTTTTGCCAGCAGGTAGTCAAGTTGATTCCGTAATTCCTGTAGCTCGGGCTAAGTCAGGCGCCATTGAGTTCGTACAGTAGGCTGCGCGCCGGGCTACAACTCGATTTTGTGGTCTTGGGATCGCTCGGGTGGCAGTCCACTTAGCAAGTCGTCTGGGAAAATCTCGGGATATTCCCGAATGAATTTTGCCAAGTAATCCAGGACCGAAGCGCGGAGTTTGTTAATGTCAGACGCCTCGTTCTGCTCCGTTGATTTGGTTAGATGGACAGCGTATAAATCCGCTCCTTTCTTGACCGCTCGCTTGTGGCACACAGCGTTGACTCATGCCGCGGTTGTCTCTACTTCCGGCCACGTGGGTAATTTTCGCCAGCCTTTTTCGCACTTCACTGTGCAGTCGCCTGTTGTCCAATCGATCTGCGGATTGAATCTTCGCAGCCAATCGCGTCCCAACAGCACATCATAGACGTTGAGCGTTGTCACTAGCATCGACGTGCTGAAGCCGAAATCTTCGCCACACTTCATTCGAACGACGGGTACTTAGTCGCGTATCGCCAGCGGGGTGCCATCCACCAATCTTGCGTCTATTTTGGGCAAATACCGCTCCAACGATGAATGCAGTCTTCGTGTCATCTCCCGATTTATCAGGCTTTGACTCGCACCTCCGTCGATGAATATTTTAAGTTTTCTTCCATTTAGTCGTCCTTCCACCAGCACAGTGAGCGGAGGTCATCCCCCTTATTCAGCTGTGAGCGGTTGATTGCGTGTATCGGAACTACTACCCCATGGGGATGGTGTTTTTCGGGCGATGAGGCAGGGTCAGTAGGGGCCCGACCGCTACTGACGCTTGGCGTTTCCCGACCTGCCTTCGTCGTTCTTCTTTATCTGCTTCGTTCAGGGGCAATCGTGAGATTGGTGACCCGACTGGTGGCAATTGAAACATTGCCCCTTGCGAAAATCTTCCATGTGCTCCTTTGCCACTACGCCGTGAATCGTGGGCCGTGGATCCTGGCCGCGAAAACGATTTCCCTCCCGGGAACCCGCTATCGCATTCGCCAGATGCGCGTAGAAATTGTCAGCGATCCAGACTGCTTCGTGAAACGTCGCCGGTAGTCGTAGTCGAACTTCGCATTTAATGTCCTGCTTCAAGCCCAAAATGAATCGAGCCTTCTTCTCGGAGTCATGCATGTCGGTAATTTGATCGCATAACGCCATAAACACCGACGCGTAATCTTGGACAGAACTCCACTGGCGCCAGTTGGCCAGCTTTGTGCGTGCGTTGTCCGAGGTTGAATAATCTGAGTATGTGAACTTGTGAGTAATCAAAGTTAATAATGAAAAAGACCTAACAGAGATTTATAGTTCTACGAAAAGTACCTATTCGCTAATGTACCTGTTCGTCACTATCGCGCTATGCGCCCTAGATGATAATGAAGGAGTGCGACTGTTTCGCATGACTGAAACGACTGTCCTATGACGAGCGCTATTTGCTGACGTCATCCTACGGACTTATCTTCTACAGTAGGATTCGACACTAACTACACTTAATCGACTTACAGAAATGCTAAGTATCAATTATATCACAACACTCCCCTTCATTTCTGGAACGTCGATAGTGTCACTTCTTGAAGGTTCGGGAAAAATATAGAAGGGTCTCGAAGTGACGGAGCGAGGCCTGGAGAACTCCTGAAGGTCGAACTAGAAGGTCTAGAGATGCCGAGGCAGTTCTGTCAAAAAGGTCCAGAACAGTCCCTATTTTTCACGAGTAAATTACTCTGATTCTCTGATTTTCAGAGTTGATTTTACGTATCACCCTTATGCCTCTGGGTAAAATTTTTGAGATAATACGTTTTCTCTGATTAGCCAGAGTTTTCTTTTGTACCACCCTGTTGGTTTCTGTACAGGGGGGATACCTCCAGATTTTTCTTGTACCCCCCTGTCTACATACGTGGACCCGAATCCATGCCGACTATAACGGACTGAAACCGAAGCTAATTGGGCTGTTGTATAAGGGCGCTGATTGGCCCTTAGCCAAAATCAGCTCTCGATGCATGCTGCTGGAGCATGTGTGAGGGTGAAATTTGGTCCTTCAACTGAAATCACCGTCCAATGTGTACAATCTGACTAAGGGCCTAAAAGCGCCCTCACAACGCAAAGTGTGTTGGCTACTGTGTGAGGGCCCCAATTGGCCCTTAGCCAGATTCACCACGTGATGTATGGCGCAGATTGTATGAGGGCGCCGATTGGTCCAAACTCCACGAGATGTGTGCTCTTGCGTGGTGGCTGCGCGTGGATTGTGGCCCTCAGATTTCAGGTTTTTTTTTGCTGATTTTGCTGATTTCCAGGGTGTTTTGCTGTACCTACCCTGAAAAATCAGCGCTGGAATCTGGAAAACCGGGGTTTACTTAAAAAAGCAGTACCAACCCTGATTTTGAGGATGTTTTCAAGGTGCCTTTGTGTACCGACCCTGAAAATTCAGTGTGGCCTAAAACGAATCTGAGGGCCTGGGGTGTGGGGAAGAGGGGTTTTCTTGTGGATGGCACTGGTTGCCCCCGCCCAACCAGCGTGTGCAAACTTGATAGGCACTCCCCGTGCCTTTCAATTTTGTTTCCGAACCATTCCCCAGTTCTCCCCGGTTGCGCAATTGTGATGCACCACCAATCAATCCCTTCGTGCCCCGCACCCTTCTTTCACACGGCCCATGCTGGCCCTAGCTCCCTCAAAATGGCGTGTGATCATGTATGAATTAGGCAATTAGACACGTGACATGACCCATGCATTTGCGGGCGTCTACAAGAGAACATAATTGACAGAGTAAATTTTTTAGAAATAGTGGGTTACTCTGACCATTCAGGGAATATGTTAGAGGTCACTCTGATTTTCAGAGTTCCGATAAAAATCACTACCAGAATTCAGAGTAGCGAAAATCCAAAGATCAGCACTGGTCCAGAACCGTCCTAAGGCTTCAGGTGTGTTTGATCGTACGCGATAGCAGTACCGCTCGGTAAGGAATGGAAAATTCCTTACACCCATGGAGATTAAAGCCCGAGTCTAGAATGGTTAAAAACCATGAATACTGGGCATGAAAACAGTGCCAAAAAAACTGGGCGAAAGTAATTTCGGCAAAGTTCCCCTGACGAATACAGAATTTGGCGAAATAGCAGAACCGTGATCGCAGCACGAAATTTCATCGGCAAGAACCGAGTTCAACAGTGCATGAACAATGTGTGGGGGGCGGGGGAAGGGGGGGAACGAACAGTGACGCGAGACCCCCACAAAAATGCGTTCAGAATGGTCGCAGGCGAAAATCAAGAATACTGAGATGAACAGTAATTGCGGGTTTGTCCTTTTCAGCGGCATTCGCAAGGTGCCCCTTGTTCCCCGAGAGTTGCGACGTGCAAATGGCATTTACTACGTTACCCTCTATTGGACGAAAACAAGTTCAGGATTCCTGAACTTGATAGCAAACCATTCTAGACTCGGGCTTTAAGTAACCAGCTGGCAGGTTACCAGCTGAAATATGACGACTTTAGATCATCCACTCTGCACCACATGCCCAACCAGCACTTTATCGTGCCCAACCACCCCCAACACCCCCGCACCCACCTGTCATACCCCCTTCCATCCCCTACGCAAACCGCGATAGGCGACAACACACATCGCGACACTTCAACGAGCCACACAGGGTGGCGACGAACCAAGCATACTGAGTTACCAGGTTTTCTCGCATGAGCCTTGAACGGCTCGCTTCGCATGGCTAGTCTCGAATCAGATTGGTTAACGAAGTACTGTAAAGAGTTGGGGGAGTAGGCTGTTAGTTTCCTGCCCCCACTACGAGACACTCACAGCCAGGTGGTCTGGGCAGGGGCACAGGGTTTGTAACCGAATTTCACAAGTCAGCAGATTTCGACACGCCAAGCCCGTTATTGTGGGACTGTATACCAGCCTTGAAAGCTGGGCTTCCAGTAGGGCGTTCCAGATTCAGCCAACTTGATACCGAGGATCATTTTGACTTCTGGACAAGGAAACGACACGCGAAAACGCATGCGAGACAATGCGAAAGTCGTGCTTCGCGGCGTTCGCTATCGCTGCAATATGGGCTCCAGAATGCACCTGCTAGAGAATATCCGTGCAGCAGGTTTGCAACCAAGTTTCATAACCAGGAACCTGTGAACGAACGACGAACGAACTCATGCACTAAGTTTGAAACAGGAATTGACCTGGTTGGCGTGATGGCATGACGCAGAAGCCAGATTCGTGTTCCAAGTTTCGCAATGATTGTGACGCAGGCTTCTGTCAGCTCCTAGACTGATCAGGCAACTTTTTAGCCATCAACGGGTATGGGTTAGTTCAGATTCCAGATTCATCGCAGCCTTTCCGCGACTGGCGGTCGCCCGAGATGACATTCGCCGCGTTCACCGGCGCTTTCCTTATCGGTTTCGTTAGCCCCTAGGGCGACCAGCCCTTTCGCCTCTGCAACCGACGGCTGCCCGAGATGACATTCACAGCGTTTAGCGGCGCTTTTGATATTCGCCGCTCGTAGGACGACCAGCAGATTCGCCTCTCCTTTCGCCTCCGCAACCGACGGTCGCCCGAGATGACATTCGCCGCGTTCAGCGGCGCTTTCCTGATCGGCTTCGGACCGGCCATTGCTGTTATAGCCATTACTGTTTCAAGACAGGCCTTCCTGTCGCTCGTTACTCTCACCAGGTATTCAACATCGGTGTGATAGTATTTTCGTTTTGAGTCGACTCAATCGTGACAGGCCTTCTGGTCGCTCGTCAACCTCACCAGGTATTTAGCATCGGATTCGTTATAATGGCCAGTTGGTGAGCTTCGTTATCACACATTCCAGTCAACCACCCTAGTAACACGGAACCTATGCCGTCTATTTCCCCCTGGATGCTCACCTGACTTGCTTTTTCGTCCGCTCTATCGTCCCTTGCCCTTTCCGCATCGTCTCACCTCCCGTCACCATAACAGCACCTTCGTTTGGCTCATCTGGCGTCCATTCACCTCCCTAACTACTCTCTCACTCTCTTTCCTCTTTTACCCTCCCCTTCTTCCCCCCTTCTTCTCCCCCCCCTCCCCTCCCCTTCCCCCCCCCCCCTCTCTCTCTCTCCCCTCCCACCCGCCCCACTAACAGCACCTTCTATTGGCTCATCACACTTCTATCAATCGCCCTCATCCCTCTCTTTGACTTCTTCTTCCGTTCCTTTCCTTCCCCCCTCCCCCCCACCACCACCCCCCCCTTCCCCCCCCACCCTACCAGCACCTCCTATTGGTTCATCCCTCTCCTCTCAATCGCCTTTCTCTGGCGTCACTTCATCGCTCTCACTGCCCTCTCAGTCTTCTCCTTTCTCCACTCTCCTCCCCCCCACTACTCCCCCACCCGCCCCACTAACAGCACCTTCTATTGGCTCATCACACTTCTATCCATCGCCCTCACCCCTCTCTTTGCCTTCTTCTTCTGTTCCTTTCCTTCCCCCCTTCCCCTCTCTCCCCCCCCTCCCCCCCCCCCCTTTCCGCCCCCACCCTACCAGCACCTTCTATTGGCTCATCACTCTTCTATCCATCGCCTTTCTCTGGCGTCCCTTCATCGCCCTCACTTCACTATCCGACTTCTTCCTCCTCCTCCTCATCCTCTCGGCCGTCGCCTGCCAAGAGCTATCCCGTCAACTGCTCTGCCAAATACTCAAGTAAGCAAGCCCCCTCCGTCATCATGCCCTCGATGCCGCGCACTGTCTCCTCTGCTTTCGCCTGCCAAGACTCTCCCGTCGACTGCTGTGCTAGATACTCTTGTGAGTGCCGTCTCTTTTCTTGTGAAGCCAACGTGTTTCTCGCCCTCTCTCTGCCGTCGCCTGACACGAGCTATCCCGACGGGTGTGGGATATCCCGACTACTCCTCTGCCCATAACTCCGGACATAATTCCAGTGAGCGCTCACTGGAATTATGTCCGGAGATCTCTCTGCCGTCGCCTGACAAGAGCTATCCCGACTACTCCTCTGCCCATAACTCGTGTACGCACCCGCTTTCCCCTTGTCAAGAGCTCTTTGTCCCACAACTCCCCCCCCTCGTCCTCTCTCTTTTGTCCTGCCAAGAGCCTTTTCCCGTCAACGGCTCTGCCAAGTACTTTCGTACCCTTCCCTGCCTCGTAAACCCTTCATTGGTCACACTCCCTCCGGTTCTTCTCTCCTGCCTGGCGATTGCTACACAAGCTCTCTTGCTACACAAGCTCTCTTGCTACACAAGCTCTCTTGTGGTACTCTGTATCGCCCTCTTCCCTCTTCCCATGCTCTTCCCTCTTCCCATGCTCTCGTCAACCGCCCCTTCACCAACATACGTATTAGTGCGTCGCTTTTGAGTCGACTCAAAAGTAGTGCGTTGTTAGAAACAAGCAGGCATGGAATTCCACTCCACTCTCTCCTCCTCTCCTTCTCTCCTCCTCTCCTTCTCTCCTCCTCCCATGAAAAAGTAGTGCGTGTTTCTCCCTCCTCATCTCTCTCACTCACCCACTCACTCAATCCCTCCCCTCCACTACTGCGTCCATCTGTCTCTTCCTCCCTTCGCTCCTCCCCAACTCTCCCAGTCACTTGTATCGGGGACTAAACGTCCTAGCTGCTGCCAGACACCTACCCTCATGCTCCCAACGCCCCTTTCCATGTGCTCCCCCCCCACTCTCAGTCGCTTGGAGCGGGGTCTAACCATCATGGCTGCTTCCAGACACCTACCCCCACTCTCTCCTCCTTTCACGACAGCTCCCCCCCTTTCATAAAATTCGCTTCTCTTTCTTCCCCCCTCCCCTCCCCCTCTCCTCCCTCCCCCACCCACCTCTCAGTCGCTTGGAGCAGGGTCTAAACGTCATAGCCACTTCCAGACAGCTACCCCCACTCTCTCCACTCAACACCTTCCATCTCTCTCTTGGTACGCCCGACCCCTCCACTCCCTTCTCTCACCCCACACCCCCCCCCCTCCGCCCCTCCCCCTCGTTGTAGGAGGGAAGTAACACAATGCAGCAGAATTGTTCTGAACACCTATTCTCACTCTCTCCTCTCAACACCTTCCACCTCTCTCCTCTCAACACCTTCCACCTCTCTCCTCTCAACACCTTCCACCTGTCTCCCCCCAACACCTTCCACCTCTCTTGTGGTACTTCTTGCTGCAATCAACTCTATTGTCCCACACCTTCATTTTCTTCCGTGTCTTTCATCTGTCAACACCTTCCACCTTTCTCCCGAGAGGGGTGTTTTACTTCTCTCCTATTAGCTGACATTCTCGGTCCTGGCATGGCTCAGCGGAGGATGTTGGTACGCTGGCCCATTCCGTTCTTCTCCCCTCATAGTTCCATAGCATGGCGTGGCATGGCATGGCATGGCGTGGCATGGCGTGGCATGGCGTGGCATGGCATGGCGTGGCATGGGATGGCATGGCGTGGCATGGCGTGGCATGGCATGGCATGGCGTGGCATGGCATGGCATGGCGTGGCATGGCGTGGCATGGCGTGGCGTGGCATGGCGTGGCATGGCGTGGCATGGCGTGGCATGGCGTGGCATGGCGTGGCATGGCGTGGCTTGGCGTGGCATGGCGTGGCATGGCGTGGCATGGCGTGGCATGGCGTGGCATGGCGTGGCATGGCGTGGCATGGCGTGGCATGGCGTGGCATGGCGTGGCATGGCGTGGCATGGCGTGCCTGGCGTGGCATGGCGTGGCATGGCGTGGCATGGCGTGGCATGGCATGGCATGGCATGGCGTGGCATGGCGTGGCATGGCATGGCGTGGCATGGCGTGGCATCGCATGGCGTGGCATGACGTGGCATGGCGTGGCATGGCGCTCCTTCTGAGAGATTTTTTAGAAATCTAAACAATCTTTCATAGTTCCATAGCATGGCGTGGCATGGCGTGGCATGGCGTGGCATGGCGTGGCATGGCATGGCATGGCATGGCGTGGCATGGCGTGGCATGGCGTGGCATGGCGTGGCATGGCGTGGCATGGCATGGCATGGCATGGCGTGGCATGGCGTGGCATGGCGTGGCATGGCGTGGCATGGCGTGGCATGGCATGGCATGGCGTGGCATGGCGTGGCATGGCGTGGCATGGCGTGGCATGGCATGGCATGGCGTGGCATGGCGTGGCATGGCGTGGCATGGCATGGCATGGCGTGGCATGGCGTGGCATGGCGTGGCATGGCGTGGCATGGCATGGCATGGCGTGGCATGGCGTGGCATGGCGTGGCATGGCGTGGCATGGCGTGGCATGGCGTGGCATGGCATGGCATGGCGTGGCATGGCGTGGCATGGCGTGGCATGGCATGCCTGGCGTGGCATGGCGTGGCATGGCGTGGCATGGCGTGGCATGGCATGGCATGGCGTGACATGGCGTGGCATGGGATGGCATGGCGTGGCATGGCGTGGCATGGCATGGCATGGCGTGGCATGGCGTGGCATGGCGTGGCATGGCGTGGCATGGCGCGGCATGGCATTGCATGGCGTGGCATGGCGTGGCATGGCGTGGCATGAGGTGGCATGGCGTGGCATGGCGTGGCGTAGCGTGGCATGGCGTGGCATGGCGTGGCATGGCATGGCATGGCGTTGCATGGCATGGCATGGCGTGGCATGGCGTGGCATGGCGTGGCATGGCATGGCGTGGCATGGCGTGGCATGGCGTGGCATGGCGTGGCATGGCGTGGCATGGCGTGGCATGGTGTGGCATGGCGTGGCATGGCGTGGCATGGCGTGGCATGGCATGGCGTGGCATGGCATGGCGTGGCATGGCGGGGCATGACGTGGCATGGCGTGGCATGGCGCTCCTTCTGAGAGATTTTTTAGAAATCTAAAAAATCTTTCATAGTTCCATAGCATGGCATGGCATGGCGTGGCATGGCGTGGCATGGCGTGGCATGGAGTGGCATGGCGTGGCATGGCGTGGCATGGCGTGGCATGGCATGGCATGGCGTGGCATGGCGTGGCATGGCGTGGCATGGCATGGCATGCCGTGGCATGGCATGGCATGGAGTGGCATGGCGGGGCATGGCGTGCCTGGCGTGGCATGGCGTGGCATGGCGTGGCATGGCGTGGCATGGCGTGGCATGGCGTGACATGGCGTGGCATGGGATGGCATGGCGTGGCATGGCGTGGCATGGCATGGCATGGCATGGCATGACGTGGCATGGCGTGGCATGGCATGGCGTGGCATGGCGTGGCATGGCGTGGCATGGCGTGGCATGGCGTGGCATGGCGTGGCATGGCGTGGCATGGCGTGGCATGGCGTGGCATGGCGTGGCATGGCATGGCATGGCGTGGCATGGCATGGCATGGCATGGCGTGGCATGGCGTGGCATGGCATTGCATGGCGTGGCATGGCGTGGCGTGGCATGGCGTGGCATGGCGTGGCGTGGCATGGCATAGCGTGGCATGGCGTGGCATGACACGGCATGGCGTGGCATGGCGCTCGTTCTCATCACCCGCCGTAGGCCCTGCTACCTCCCACTCATCCATCCGTCCCCCCCCCTTGCCCGCCCCCTCCCCCCCCCAGCCACTGGTCTAGGTCATGGGATCGCTCACTCTGTCTTCCTCTTCCTCAGTGTATCATCACCTGCTATAGGCCCGGCCACCTTCTACTCCTGGCGATGCCCCCAATTGCCCCTGGTTCTGCTGGCAGGTGCGTGGCTCATTCGTTCAGTAGACAACCAGGTTTATTTGTGAGGTTACTCGTCACCAGCTTTAGGCCCGGCCCTGCTACCATCTGCTCCTGGTGCTGCCCCCAATTGCTACTGATGCTACTTGCAGATATTCGCGTTACCAGGTTATATTTTTATACTAAGACCAGCTAGCTAGCTTATAATGTTTACCCCCAACACCTGATGTCAGACCACCTCGCTTCCACCGCCACTGCTGCCCACAGCTGCCCACAGCTGCTTCCCCCCCTCTATTTATTGGTTCTAGGCTTGTAACATAGCCTGGTATAAGCCAGGTTGGTTCCTTATATTGCCCATCACCTGACATTGGGCCTGGCCTGCCTTCAGCTGTCTCTTACGTTGCTTGCTTTCTTGTTCCCACTCCTTTCCTCTCTCCTCCCCTCCGTGTGAAATGAGTCGATTTTTGAGTCGACTCAAAAATCGACTCATTTCACCTGTCTCTTAGGTTCCTTGCTTTCTTGTTCCTCCTAAGAGACTCCTTTCCTCTCTCCTCCCCTCCCCCTCTCCCCTCCCCCTTCTCCCCTCCCTCTCCCCCCTGTCCTCCTTACCCCAAACTAGGCATTGTAGCCATCCTCAGATAAATTCCCTAGCCATGGTGCTGGCTTAGAATACACGTGCACATGGAGTGTTTAGGGGCGCCTCAAAGTAACCTACCCCAACCACCCCCCCTCCCCCCCTTCCTTCGTCCCTCCCTCCCTCCCCACCCTTCTCCAGCCATAGCTTCTGCGGCCTTCCTCATTGTTCACTCCCTGGGCATGGTGCTGGCTTATGATGCGCACAAGGTGCAGCTTATAAAGGGGACGGGCCCTTCAACAGGCCATCAGTCGATAAGAGGGGCACAGGAAGCACAAGAGACAAAGCCATTGAGGGATTCACAGCCCACAGGGGAAGCGCCTACACGGCAAGAAACATCGCTTGCTATGGAATGGCGATTCTCCCTCCCCTCCTCCCCTCAAGAGATGTGTGCCCCTGCTCTTCACGCTGCAACAGCAGTGTCTGTAAGTCCCCTTGCATCTACTTGCACCTACTTGCACCTTCTTGCGCGTACCTACTTCCCTTTCTATGAAATTGGCGCTTCTCCCTCCCCTCCTCCCCTCAAGAGATGTGTGCCCCTGCTCTTCACGATGCAGCAGCAGTGTCTGTAAGTCTCCTTGCACTTCTAATCACTTATTTCTTGCACTGGCATGGGATCATGGCTACACGGATTTCACAAGAGGGGGGTTAGAGTTATTTCTGCAATTTAGAATGTCGATTTGACTCTGACGCGTTTCTTGCACGTACCGGATGTGGGGTTAAGGGACAGCGAAACGGTAGCAGCCCGTTCTCTCTTGCGTCCATTTGATCTGTTTTCCATGTTGCTTCCATGATTCTTCCATGTTGCTTCCATGTTGCTTCCCTGTTCCATTTCTCTCTCCCTAAGCAGCCTTGCGCCTTATCTTGTGTCGTTTCACGCTCTTCTCAACCCATCCCACGTGCCAGATGCTCATGGGCCTGTTTACAGGCGGCTGTGTGACAGCCGTAGTATTGAGTTGGCTTTGCGCGCTTGCGTCGATCGTGGTTGTAGCACTGCTGGTGCATGCAAGAGGGGACAGGGGCGTTCACTGACACGCCACCTAGTGTATACTTCCGCTGGTAATGGCTGGCATGCTGCTGAGAGGTTTGCGTGCCAGCCCTGGTGTTGAGCTGGCTATGGGAGCCCGCGTCTATCGTGGTTGTAGCGTTGCTTGTTCATAGATGGAGGAGCAGCAGAAACATTCACTAATGCTCCTTGTAGCGTTCTTCTATTCATTTGCTCGTGGAAACGTATGTGTTATGCTCCTTGCAGCCCTGCTAGAGTTGGCTATTGAAAGAATTTGAAAGGTGGTGCAGGAGACTAAGTATAAAATCTGCAGACACAAGTACCTGAAGTAGAAAGTAATACTGGAAGTACCTCCAGTAACAGCCAGTAATAACAAGTTGTAACACCAGAGTCAGTGTTACAACCTTGCGATACTTCAAGACTTAACCAAGGATCTTTGCTGGAATGGTAGACTAGTAAGACAGCGGAAGTCTTAGAACTTGTGAAGTGTTGACCAGAGTTTACTGAAGAACAAGTTAACAATTGAAGTTGTACAAGCTACTTTTATATCTGCTAGAATTACCTATTCGGTCATGTACTTGTTCGAGCTATTTGCGCTATGCACTCTAACCGCTACTGAAAAGAGCGCGACTGTTCGGGTGACTGAAACGGCTAGCTGACGTAATCATCCAGACGAGCGCTATTTGCTGACATCATTCTACGGATGCTAACTACAGTGTAACTCGACAATATCTATCGGAACTACTTACAGAAATGCTCAAGTACGATTTTACCACAACAGCTATGAGGTAGGCACACTTGAATATCTTTCTGGGGTACAAGTGCCACAGCAGTAACACCCTACTTGGGCTTGCACAGCTTCTTGCCAGCATAAGGTGTGGAAGGACTGCAAACAATCCCAGTATTATGCTGAGCATGCAAAAACATTTTGAGAGAGAGCATCTCTGAACTGAACGCCTTGCTGTTAGGGTCTGAGAAAGGAAGGAAAAACGGTCTAAGTTTGAGCATCAAAAAGAGAAATGGAACAGAAGCGAGAGAAAATAGAGTGGTTGGGGTTGGGGAAATGGAACAAGGGAGATGACGATGTGGCAATAGGAGATTGGTGTCAAATGTAACCTAGGTCGTTACTGTAGACTATACTGGATTGTGCCTTAGAGGGTACAACACCCTAGTCTATATATCCTTGTACACACACATTCTAGTTCAATCATTCTCTTTCTGATATGGTATCATAGTAGGTTAGATCCCCCCCCTAGCCCGCTCACGCTTCCGCCCCTACGTTCCTAGCCGGCCCCCTGGCCGTCGCGCTCGTCCCTAGCCGGCCCCCTGGACGTTCGCGCCTGTCCCTAGCCGGCCCCCTGGCCGTTCGCGCCCGTCCCTAGCCGGCCCCCTGGCCGTTCACGCTCGTCCCTAGCCGGCCCCCTGGTCGTTCGCGCCTGTCCCTAGCCGGCCCCCTGGCCGTCGCGCCCGTCTCTAGCTGGCCCCCTGGCCGTCGCGCCCGCTCCTAGCCGGCCCCCTGACCGTCGCGATCGCTCCTAGCCGGCCCCCTGACCGTCGCTCCCGTCCCTAGCCGACCCCTGACTGTTTGCGCCCGGCCCTAGCTGGCCCTTCTGGCTGTCGTGCTCGCCCTTAGCCGGCGCCCTAGCCATCGCGCCCGTCACTAGCTGGCCCCCTGGCCGTCGCGCCCGCTCCTAGCCGGCCCCCTGCCCGTCGCGATCGCTCCTAGCCGGCCCCCTGGCCGTTTGCGCGCACCCGTAGCTGGCCCCCTGGCCGTTCGCGCCCGTCCCTAGCCGCCCCCCTGGCCGTTCGCGCCCGTCCCTAGCCGGCCCCCTGGCCGTCGAGCCCCACCTAGCCGGCGCCCTGGCCGTTTCGCGCCCGCTCTTCGCAGGCCCCCTGGCCGTTTGCGCCCGCCCCTAGCTGTCGCGGCTGCTACTAGCTGCCGTCGCGGCCGCTTCCCACTGTCCCTCGGCCGCCCCTAGTCGTCCCGGCCGCCCCTCGCCGTCGCGGCCGCCCCTAGCCGCCGCCGCTGCCGTCTCCAGCCGCCTCACGGTCGCTCCTGCCGTCGCGGCCGCCCCTCGCGGCCGTCGCGGCTGTCCCTGGCCGCCGTCGCGGCTGTCCCTGGCCGCCGTCGCGGCTGTCCCTGGCCGCCGTTGCGGCTGTCCCTGGCCGCCGTCGCGGCCGTGTCTACTCGCCGCCCGCCGGCCGGCCCCTGCATTCGCGCCGTCGCCGGCCTGCGGCTGCCTCGGGTTCGGCCCGTTCTTCCCGATCAGCACCGCCCTCCGAAACCCCCCCCCCCCCCCCGTACCGTACTTCGATGTACCGTACTGGTCTTGCATGAAGACTGCTCCCACTGCCTGGTCGTTGGCGTCAGCTTCGATGACGTAGTCGCGTTTGGGATCTGGCAAGATGAGTACTGGTGCGGACGTAAGTGCTTGCTTCAGCTGCTCCACGGCTTCCTGGTGTTTCGGCTCCCATGTGTAGGGCGTGTTCTTCGTTAGCAGATTCGTGAGTGGTGCTGCGATTTTCGCATACTGTGGCACGAACCTGTTGTAGTAATTAGCGAAGCCTAGGAATTGCTGCAACTCCTTCACGTTCTCGGGTGTCTTCCACGTACGTACGGCTTCGATTTTCTTGGGGTCGACGTGAACTCCTTGAGCGCTCACCATGTGTCATAGGAACTGGACCTTCTCAAGGGTGAATTCGCTCTTGGACAGTTTGACGTAGAATCGTTCTCGTCGAAGAATTTCGAAGACGCGTCGCAGGTGTTCGACGTGCTACTTTATGTCGTGCGAGTAGATGAATATGTCGTCCAGGTACACCACCACGCACTCGTCCAAAAGTGGTCATAGAATGTGGTACATTTCGGCTTGGAATGTTGCCGGTGCGCTGGTGACTCCGAATGGCATTACCAAATACTCGTACGATCCATACCGAGTTCGAAAAGCAGTTTTGTGGATAGAGTTGTCCGCCATCCGTATCTGCCAGTATTCGGACCGTAGATCCAGTTTGGAAAATACCGTAGCTCCCCGAAGCTGGTCAAGCAGGTCATCGATTCGCGGTATCGGATATTTATTCTTGATGGTCTGCTTGTTAAGAGCTCGGTAGTCGATGCACATGCGCAGGCTTCCGTCCGGTTTCGGTGTGAAGAGTACTGGGGCACCGTACGGCGAAGTGGATGGTCGGATGAGTCCTTTGGCTAGGAGATACTCGATCTGTTTTTTCATGTCGGTCAGCTCCGTAGGGCTGAGCCGATATGGTGCTCGGAAGGTCGGCTTCGAACCCTGTTCCTCTACGATCTCGTGTTGGTGCGTTCGGTATGGCGGTAGCTCGTTCGGAAGATCGTCCGGAAGAATATCTTGGAACTCCTTCAATAATTCCTTGATCTTTCCTGGAGGTTCCGAGGTTCTCTCTCTGTCGTTCTCCGCCTCTGTTGCTATTGCTAGGAACCCTGTGTTGGTTTGCTTCACGTTCTTCTCGAATCATGCGAGTGTCTCCACTGGGATATCTCCTGTATCGTCCCAGTTCGGTAGCTGTACTCTCCGTCCATTGTTGTAGATGCTTGCGGTGCGGTTCACCCAGTTGATCTCAGGGTTGAATCTTTTTAGGAAGTCTCGCCCGAAGATCAAGTCAAGCCCTTTGATGTTGGTGATGGGGAGTGCAGGTCTCCAGCGCAGTGGTCCAATTTGTAGGTGTAGCACTGCTTCGCCGTGTACTGGTAACTTGCTGCCGTCCACCATCGTTGCAGAGAATCCTGAAGGCGTGTACTCTTCCCGAATTCGGTCGATTACTACCTTGTCGCAGACGGTGTGTGATGCTCCGCTGTCCACGAGTGCTTGGAGGCGTCGTCCTTTGCAGATGACCTCGAGCACGAGGGGCAGGCGTTGCTCGGAGTACCCAAAAATGGTTTCATTGATTGGGTCATAGGGTACATCCCAATATTCCGTACACACCTTTGTGTTGCTATCTACTCCTGAGCTGGCAGCTGGCCGAGGCTGCTTGGAGAACGGTTCTTCTCCAGGGCCTGGAGTTTCCTTGACGACTGTGCGCGTCACTGATGCCGAAGAACTGGATGCATCTGGAGGAGGAGTTCGGGGTTTGTGCAGCTTCTTATAGACCCCCAGCTTCCTCTTGAGCTGCTTCAGCTCCACCGACGTCTTCCCTGGGGAACGGGTAGTCGTTGTGGGCTGGTGTCGGGAGAGGACGTTGACTCCGTGGAAAGGTCGGCTTCTTTCCACACTCCTTAATTTTTTCCCCACAGCTGTCTGCTTCTTTTGGAGTCCCTCCCGAAATTTCTCCAAGGCTCTTGCCCCAAGTTTTCATTAAAGCATCTTTATAAGATAACTTTAACGAATCCTTATAATTTCTTGGGCCTTCAAGGAGTTTCCCCGTCTCGGCAGAGTCTTTTTTCGCGGAGTCGTTTTTTTCCTCGGCGATTTTCCCTGGCGAAGACTGGTCGTGGGCTGGAGATTTTCCCCCATCTTTTCCTCCTTCTCGCGTCGAATCAACTTCGTCGAAGTTGATTTTCCCGGAATCTCGCGGCTGCTTCCGGATCTTTTTATTTTCGCCAGCTAGATCCGCAATCACTGGCGACTCCCGTTTTTTGTCTTCTGATTGGCCGAAGGAGTTCCGCCACTGTTGCGTGCCCGATACTCAGCGCGTGCGGTTTTCATTTTGTTGCAGTCGAAGATTCGATCACCCGGCACCCCGCAAAAATCACACGTGTAGTTGGTGTTTTTCGGACGTGGCCGCCCCTCGAACCTGTCGACTTCCATCGGGTCGGCGAACGTGGGGTGAGCCGAGCGGTCGCCCTATCGCGTACTGCCGACGTGCGTCCGCCGTGTCCCGGCGTTGACCATGTCGAAGCGCTCCGCTGCCGAAACGACGTCACTGTAGCTCGCGTAGTTTGACGCTGCTACCTGGCGTTTGACTTCGGTCTTCAGCCCAGCGAGGTACGATTGTACTTTTTCCCCTTCGGTCAGGTCGGGAATTCGGTTATAAAATTCCTCCATCTGTTGCGTGTACTGTGCTACACTCCCGAACTGTCGATGGCGATGAATTTTTTCCCGGGCAAGGAAACTGGAATTTATCGGCTCGAAGCGTTTCAGCAGGTCGGCGCGGAACTGCTGCCACGTGGCTTCACCGTGGATAAAAGTGCTGTTGCCGCCAATCCACTCGAGTGCCGGCCCTCACATCAGTGTCGCCGCGAGTCGTACGCGTTGACCATCCCAGATTGGCGAGCTTCATCCGACGGCTGCGAAGTAGATCTCCATCCCGGCGATCCATCTGCGGGCGTCGGAGTTTCGATCGCTCGGATCGAACGGCTCAGGTGGGCGCGGTTTCGGAGCCTCGAGAAACTGCTGCGAGTGCTGCGTCGTCGCCATTGTCGAGTCGTGCTGCGCTCCGGCGAGTCGAGTTACTTGCTCGAACTCGTTTCGCCACGCTTCGCGATCCGCTCGCATCTCCTCCTGAAGGGCTGCGATGCGCGCGAAGAGCTGCTGGGTAACCTCGGCGTTGTCGAAGATTGCCATCCTGCTCAAAATACGCGCGGGGGGGGTGATTAAAAAAAACGCGGAGCTAGTGCTTACCAGAATCGGCGTCGAATTGGTCGCCTCCGGCGGTTTTTCGAGGCAGGTTTTCCCGTTGCTGCTGCTTTGTTGAGCGCGGCCGAGTGAGAAAAGCTCTGATTACCACGTGTCACAGGATCGAATGACTCGATGAAAGATTGCACTATCGATCAGTACAAGGCGCTTTTATACTTCCAGAGTACATCAGGTAACCAGGTTTATCTTATCCTAAGGGAATAGACCCTTCTAGAATATAGAATCACCCTGCGTATAACCACGCGAGGCTATTGGCTTTAAGGGATTACGGCAGGATTACGCTAGATATAGCGCCTAGTACATCCCAAGCCTGGTCGGTGATATAACTATAATAGCAGGATAAACCAAAGGTTGATGGAAAAGGGAGAATAGGAAACCAAATAAGATGAGGTAAAAAGAGAAATGAAAATAGGAAGGAAGTAGAAAAAAGGCCAAGTGCTGTAACGGGGTCGTACTCTCACAGTTGACACCCTGTCCCCTATAGAGGCCCGCCACCGCTCTATCGCTCAGACCAGCGGTACTGTGTCGGTCCCTATCTTTCAGGGTTGTGCCCCCGCTCACTGCACCTTATCCGACGGTTCTGCTGCTGTGGCTGAGACTGCCGCTGCCGCACAGGTTCGTCCGGGGAAGGGTTGCCGCCCCAAGGCTGGACGTGGCGACGGGAGTTGGGGTGCGGGTGTAGGTGGTGCTGGAGTTGGGTCGCCTAGTGGTGGTGCTAACGCGGGGACCCTGACAGGTGCAGCCGAGCAGCCGTCTCAGCAGTCGCCGATGTTGCAGCCGGACCCGCGCCAGCTGCAGCAGCCGTAGCCGCCGCAGCTGCAGCCGTCGCCGCAGCCGCAGCAGTCGCAGCAGCAGCAAAGGCGGACGAGTCGTCTTCCGCCTGGGTGGCCCGGCGCTGGTGGCAGCGCTGGACGTGGTGGTGGTGCACGCGGTGGGCTGCCAAGTGGTGGTTCGGGTGCCGCGCGCTGTCAGTACCTGCTTCGTTTGCGGTAAGATCGGGCATACCTCCGTCCGCTGTTTCCGTCGCCTGGACGACCTGTTTCGTCAGCGTTTCGGCCCGTCGCCCGAGCTCCCAGACTGGCACAGCTTGCTTAGTCGTAGGGTTCAGATTTTTGATCTGGACATGGATGAGATTGTTGCTGATCTGCATGTGATGTATGCTGATAACTCTAGTGTGCTTCCGTCTTATTACCCCTTGTTGCCTAGTGTAGGTTTGCCTTCCTTAGACTCCCCTGATGCGTCAGGCGTAGGATCCCCTGCTTTGTTTAGCCTTCGTGCTTCCGTCGCTACTTCGCCTCCGGCCGCCAATGCCGCGCTCTCCTTCACCCTCGACTCTGGCGCTTCCCGGTGCTTCTTCCGCGACTCCACCACGTTGACACCGCTTCCTGTCCTTGCCGCCATCTCCCTGGCTGACCCCTCCTTTGGCCCTGTAGTCGCCCGCAGTTCCACCACCCTCCCCTGCCCGGCGGTTCCTTCGGGCTCTCTCACACGCCTGCACATCCCCTCATTCTCCAGGAACCTAGTTGGTGTCGGCTGCCTCCAGGACCTTGGCGTCACCACTACATTCCCTGGTCACGAGCGGTACGCTGTCTGTACCGAGGCCGCCACTGGTGCCCCCCTTACCACGTTCCCCCGGGACCCGGTGTCCTACTGTTCACACTGGACACCGTGACCCCCCCGGCTGGGACCCCCCCTCAGGTGGCTGCGTCTACCCAGGTTGCTGCTGCCTGCTCCTGTAGGTCACCCTGCGCTCCCGCGTCTGCGTCACATGTCACAGCACGGTCTCGTCCTAGGCCTCCCCCGGTCGTTCTCTGAGTTTCCCTCCTCCCCTGCCCCACCTTGCACGCCTTGTGTCGAGGGCCGGCTTCGCCGTGCTCCTCACTCCTCCTCGTTTCCCCCTACCGCCGTACCGCTACAGACTCTGCACATGGACGTCTGGGGCCCCGCCCCCGTCCATGGGCCGCGTCGAGAGCGCTACTTCCTAGTGCTTGTCGATGACTACACGCGCTACACCACTGTGTTCCCCCTGGAGCGGAAGGCCGACGTGCCTGACGTTCTTATCCCGTGGCTTGTCGCTGTGCGTGTCCGTCGCGGTCTCCCTGTCTTGCGCCTCCACTCCGACCGTGGTGGCGAGTTTGCCTCTGGTGTCCTTGGTCGTTTTTGTCGTGCGGAGGGCATCACCCAGACGTTCAACTTGCCGGACTCCCCGCAACAGAATGGGATTGCTGAGCGACGCATCGGTTTGGTCATGGAGGTGGCTCGCACCTCCATGATCCATGCCGGTGCACCCCATTTTCTGTGGCCGTTCGCCGTTCGCTACGCCGCTCACCAACTTAACTAGTGGCCGCACCCCCAGCAGCCACAGGTTTCGCCGACCCTCCTTTGGTCTGGGTCACCTGGTGACGCATCTGCGTTCCACGTCTGGGGCTGTCTTGCTCACGTTCGTGCCTCTGGCACGGACAAGCTCACTGCCCGCACCCTTCCATGTGTCTTCCTCGGTTTCCTCCTTGACGCGTCTGACTGGCACTTCTACCACCCGCCGTCTCACAGATTCTTTCACTCCCGTGACGTCACCTTTGACGAGTCCGTCTCCTTCTTCCGCCGCTTCCCCCACCGAGGTCCCCCGGTTACCCCCCCCCCTATTCCTGGTCACCCCTTCCCCGGTCGTCGCCACCCCTCCTCCTCCCCCTCCCCGTCCTGCCCCCTCTGGTCTGTCCCACGTCACCCCACTTACGTCGGTTGTACCGGTTGAGGAGTCTACTGACTCTGGTAGTCCTGCGCCGCCTGCCCCTTCTCCGCCGCCCCCTCCTCCGCCGCCTCCGCAGCCGCAGTCACCACCGCTGTCGCAGTCGTCGTCACCGCCGCCGCCGTCGCCGCAGCCGTCGTTGCGACCGCCGTCGCCGCAGCCGTCGCCGCAGCAGTTGGTTGCCTCTGGGGGTGCTGGAGTTAGGGTGGGTACTAGTCCTGGGACTCCTGTCGTGGCTTGTCCCGGCGGGCCTGGGGGTGGTACCGGTGCTCGAGGGGTTCTGAGTTCTGGGGGTGTTTCTTCTGAGGGTGCTGGGATGGAGTGTTCTGGAGGTAGCCGCCCGGCAGCTTGCGGTCCCGGTATCGGCGTCACACCGCCGTCACAGCAGTCCCCGCCAGTGTCC